CCATAAAAAAAGTTATTAGAAAAAAACAGAAAATTTGTGGACGGAAGAGTGACAGACGGACAGACGGAGTGATTACTATAGGGCACCCGCAAATCCTTGCGGGGCCCTAATAACATCTCTTCAAAGCAAAATACTTTTCATAAATCATTATTTTCCCTTTACTTTAAAGACATAAGAGACTCTTACAGAGAAGGAGTGAAGCAGCATTTTTATCAATTGAAGTGGTCAATTTGGTAGGTAGCCTGTTTTGGTGGCAAACAAGTGCATACTTTGTGAACACACAAACATTTTAATAATCTTGCCTTCTGAACTTTTCTGTCAAATAATGATTTGTACCTGGAATCCTGTGAATCCTCCACCTGCCACCCTGGGGAGATGGATGATGAAGACAATGTGTGTCTTCCCTGTCTTCTCATCTTCCAGCTGTTGAAGCTGATCTAACACAGAATACTGGGCACAGGCCACAAGGCTAGCATTTTCATTTCCACTGTCACACTGTACAATCAACAGAGACTCAGCAGACAAGTCTCTCTCAAAGCTTTGTCTACAAAACACATTATAAAGAATGACATGTAATGCTTAAGTAAATTAAGGTGTTTCCACCCTCACAATTTTAATGGTTCAAAGTACAAAAACTGCATTTATTTTCATTTCATATACTTTAATATTTCTAATTATTGCAAGAAATGTATAGGTTACCATATTAATTTAGATGCGAGACATAAATAAACAGAAGCGTATGTCAACATAAAAAAATTGCACATTTCTTGTAAACAGTATTATGAAAATCATGTAAAAACTGGTTCAAATGCATAATTCTGATGCTGAATGTTCCTAAATACTTCCTACTTATGAGATACTTTTGGATTGTGAATATCAGGGAAACTTTTTTACATTAAAAGTACAATAAAGCAAATGCCTGAATTAAGAGACCTTAGAAGGAGTTATTGCCCTTGTCAACATTTTTTAAAGATTAAATAATTGATTAAATAAAGAAAATATGCATTTTAAAAATTCTTTTACTTAACAATATTTATCATTATACCTATTGTAAAGTATTCTTCCAAAAGATATTGCACTATTATGTATAAAATCAAACTAATTACAGTTTTTGCAAAAAACCTATGACATCATAGGAGGGTGGAATTACCTTAAACAACTTGCTTGACTTAATTACAGAACTAATGACCGATAAAGAATTGTTTTTAAACAACTTTCTTGACTTGTCTACAGATCTGATGACTTACTTGACTTGGCTACAGATTTGACAACTTACTTGACTTGTCTACAGATCTAATGACTTACTTGACTTGTCTACAGATCTGATGACTTACTTGACTTATCTACAGAACTGATGACTTACTTGACTTGTCTACAGAACTGCTGCTCTGTATCAAATGACTTACTTGACTTGTCTACAGAATTCCTGACTTACTTGACTTGTCTACAGAACTGCTGCTCTGTATCAAATGACTGTAGAGTGAGTAGTGTAATCTGTGTGTAAGGAATGTGGAGGTACTGGGACAGCTCTGCTACATCTACTGTGGTGATCAGCTTGGAGTTGGTGGTCACCTAAAATAATACAGCATGGAGCGAGATGTAGGCATTTTATTAATTCAAAAATTATGGAAATTAATCTCAATATCCCAAAAACTATGAAATTTTCAAGTTTTCTCTGAGTTCAATTGAGTTTAAGATGGAGATTTCTTGTGAATTTCAAGGCATAATTTTACTCAGTATCAACAATATGAATGACATAATTTAATAAAGCTTGCTACTGTAAAATGTACCGGAAGGCACAAGACAACAGGCAAATAAGATTTAAATTGAAATTCATGCAAAAACAGAAAACAAGAGGAAGTTTCTTGAGCTTTTACAATGAAGGACTGGGTTCTGAACCAAAAGATTAAAAACTAATCAAATCTTTAAAAAAGTTAACTGCTTATTCCCATCATGGAAAAAAAGGTGCTGAAATTGTTTAAAATTTTTCAACTGCTGGATTAGCACAATATTATTGCTGTATGAAAGCTGATTGACTAGATCAAGTCAATGTTAAATATTCTTTACCTGAGCATACAGTCCATCACTACCATCCATTCTGATCTTCTGGTCAAGATAATATAGTAAATTATCATGCTTCTGTTTTTCATAGTAAACATTCTCTACAAATTCAAATTCCCGTTGAGGAAGTTTATTTTTGGCCCTCAATACACCATCTGGAGTGGCACACCACAGCAAGACTTCTTTAGCAGCTTGCATCAACTAGTCAGAGAACAAAGATTAAAATTGGATTTCTCAAGGATCCTAAATAGTCAACAAATTACCAAACAGATCCACCTAACAAGAGGCCAATGGGCCACATCGCTCACCTGAGAAGCTTTGATTATTCCATTCTTTACCAGATTTCCCCCTTGAATACAAATTGTGACTCCACCATACCCCACTGATCATAATCTAGACAATTTGAAATCTACACTACTATAGGATGCTTTGATTCCCCAATGTAAAACTTTGATTCCCCAGTGTGGCTTAACAGTACCCCCTGGGGTCGTGATTAAAGAAATTTTAAATCTACACTACCCCAGGATACATGTACTTCCAAATAAGTTACAGCATTTATGGCCCAGTGATTCTTTAGATTTTCCCCATATATTTCTATATAAAACTTTGATTCCCCATTGTGGCCCACCCTACCCCCAGGGGTCATGATTTGAACAATTTAGAATCTACACTACCCAAGGATGCTTCCACATACAGTCTTCGCCAAATCTCCTTTTCAATGGAAAATCAAAGACTTTAAAGTACAGTTAATATTATTGATTTTATTTAATTTGATTATATCGAGGGCTTCTGCCCTTCGGGCTTGTAATTGTGCAATTCCCACATGCCAGCTTCCAATTTTACCAGGTCCCGGGCATCGGACTCCCGGGATTTGCAGAAAAAAAGTCGAAGACTGCACATAAGTTACAGCTTTTCTGGCCCTGTGGTTATTGAGAAGATTTTCTCAGATTTTTCCTATATACTTCTATGTAAAACTTTAGATTCCCCATTGTGGCCCCGCTCTTACCCCCTGGGGTCATGACTTGAACAATTTAGAATCTAAACTACCCCAGGATGCTTCCACATAAGTTTCATCTTTTCTGACCCAGTGGTTATTGAGAAGAAGATTTTTTAATGACCCCACCCTATTTTTGTCTGTTCTTGATTATCTTCCCTTGTGAGAAGACTTGGCCCTTCATTTTTATTATAATTTAAATTCCCCTTTACCCAAGGATGCTTTGTACCAAGTTTGGTCAAATTTGGCCCAGTGGTTCTTGAGAAGAAGTCAAAAATGTGAAAAGTTTACAGATGGACAGCTAGATGGATGAACGACGGTCAAAATGTCATCAGAAAAGCTAACTTGAGCCGAAGGCTCAGGTGAGCTAAAAATTTGCTCGCATTTAACTCTGAAAATATAATTTGAAGACTTTATCTAAACTATTACTTTAAACATTATGGTCATGGTAAATCTAGACAAATGGAAAGATAGATGTCAAATGCAATACAAAAAGGAATAGAGGAACTTTCAAGTTGACAAAATTAATTTTAAAAATACCAGGACAATTTTAATTTGCTAGAAATACCCTTTAAGACATCTTTTAATGCAATTAAGTATATATTTTCACATTTCAATCAAAAAGTCCAGTAGGGATTTTTGTACCTCTTGTTCCAAGCCTTCTAAATCATCTTCCCTGTATTTCTGACAGACATGGAGGATTATTGAAGCACAAGTATCTGCATGAAATCCCATAAAGACATCTCCTATCTTGTATTCAGCTGCCTTGTCTCTGACAAAACCAAAAGTACCAATGTATCAAATATGAGAAAATATATCTATCTCTCACATATATATTTAAAAAGTTTTATATTTTCCCTGTTAGTTAATTGGTAGCTTAAGAAATGAAAACACTTTAAAGAAAAAAAAAGATTCTTAATTGATCAAATTTCTCAAATCTCAACAAAATGACAAAGGAAATTATATGTAATCCCTTCATTAGTAAAATACATTACAATTGAGATCTTTCAAGAAATTTGATTTTTAGGTACAGAAAAACAGAAAACAAATACCTTGGATTCCTAAACATTGGTACTGCTATCTTGACGAACTGTTCTGCCCACTTCTCTAACTTCTGTGCCAGGCTGACTTGGACTGGAGACAACATGGTGGAGATGTTGAGGAAGTGTTTCTCCAGTCTGTTGATCAGAGGAATGGGGAACTGTCTGTATACAACCTCCTTCTCTGCTACCACTATCAACCTGTAATAGAATTATAAAGCATGCAAGTCATCTTATATATATTGCTTTAATAAATAATTTGGCATGGTATTCTTTTTCTTTTGCCGATCTGAAAGCAAAATTTGAAATGTTTCTTCTTCTTGTCTTTTCTTTGGAAAGGGGGTGGGGTTACATTTATCATGACATCATGAACTATTGAGGTTTTAACAAATGTGTCATTAATAGATATGATAGGAAAATACATTCAAATTCTATTGCTATTAAAATATAAAAACATTACTTTCAACATTATTCAAACTTCATAAATGTATAAAATCTTGACATTTACAAAGACTGCAGACTGATCAAAGAATATCTGTGCAAATTTTTACCTGAAATTCTTGTGCACTCTACATTTGACACGATGAGTTCCCAATCCAAGATCTACATATCTTTCTCCTCCAAAGTACACATAATACTGAAAATATTACAGAAAAGCACTCTTATTATTTGAATATAACTTACAATTTTTTGGCTATTTTGTGAAGGGTGTTCTACTTGCTAAGAAATAGGTTCTCTGTCAAATCTTAAAACTACGGTCATGAAGATAAAATTATTAAATATTACAATAATCCAAGAAAATGAATGAATTATAAAGCAAGTTGACAATGTTCTTTTCTGAATATAATTTGTAGAAAAAAATAAGAACAAAAGACCTGAACTTAATATATGAAGGTAATTTAAAGTTTTTGAATCTATCACATTATAACGACTAATTTACCTGATTAAGGGCATCATACAGACTTTCATACAGATTCTCCAAGTTAAGAAGAACCACTGTGTTTCCCGTCTCCATGCAGACCTTTATACGGTTGATATTTCTGCAAACCTATTGAACACAAGCAACAAGATTTTCATTATTTATTTTGCTAAGTTGCAAAAATTATTTGTATCCATGAATCAAATCTCAGTCATCTCACTTACAAAGGACTAATAACTTCAGCAAAACTGCATGATATGACTAATTTTTTTATAGTAAAAGAATTTTCAGTAAAATTTACAAGATCTGGATTTAACAAGTTTTGATGGGATATATTTGTCTGCATGATTAAATTCAATGTTCAGCATGCAACATTGCACGAACAAGACAAAGATGCTTTTTATTGTCCCTGTTTGCTCTGCCCCTTAATAAATTTGACCGAGCATCTACTAGTTGTTACCTGTGTGTACTCTTGATCACTGGGAAAACTGCTGCCAAATATTGTAATGGCATTCTTCATGGTCAGAATCTTCTGTTGTAAAACTGTCAAAGCTCCGTAGTTTTCTGTCAGCAGTAGCAGGTACCGTGTATCACTGAAACATAACATCTACATGTTACTCCTTTATTTATTAATATGACTAATTTATGAAGTAAAATTTGACATGTGTAAAAACTATAGGAGCAATAAAATTTTGAATGTTTTAGACACAGACGGATGTTTGGATAAATAATGCACAAATTTGCAATGAAGTTCCTATGACCAAAAATTTCCATTTTTTTTTGGTCATTTTTACGATGACACAAATTGGAACTAAAACTTAGGCTATCATAATTTAATACCATTTTTTTTATTTTAATTTCCGAATTTTCTTTAACATATAAATAATTTTTTTAATCACAGATATACTTTCCATTTCTGGTCAAAATTTCTGCTTTATCCATTGCTTAACAGCGTATTAACATCGTAGGTACTGTCCTCGAATGTATTTTCAAACGAAGTTGCCAAAATCTCATTGTAAATGGCTACCGGAAGTGATATTTGAATACTAAACTATGAAACAAATGAGGTCGGAATTTTTTTTCCCGGATTGGTCTCCGCAATACCAACTTTTTATTTTATCAAAAATACAATAAAATCGGCATTGCGGCTACCTCAAAACGGATGCGCGCGGGACTGAGAACCAAGATTTCAATTTTATATGGCCTTAACTCTATTTCATACATCAAGATATTTCTGTAACCCACCTGTCCACTCCGTCACCTTGGAGACAGGCTTCAATGAGACCAGCAGGTGTACAGTCAGGATCTCCCGGGGAAGGCTGAAAGGAATAAGGTCAATAGAGTAAAACTTTAGTATGAAAAGGATATTGCGAATTCATGGAATAATGAAATTGTTTTATATCCCATACTTTATAAATTTTACGAATTCCTAATACGAATATAACGAATTACTGATATAGCAAAGTAATTTCATAGGTCCCAGTGACTTCCTTATAATGAGTTTTACTGTATCACAAAAATTGCCAATTCAAGTTTCTTTGGAATATTCTTAAGTTTGTTTTGATGGATGTGCACTGTTTTCTATTATAATTGTCAAAAAGTTTCTCAAAGATCTATTGAAATTTAATTATTAATAATTACAGCATTAATTTTTGCCACAGTTTTAAGATGCTGAGAGAAAACATCAAGGGGATCTTGGTTTGTTGAGTGTTCAAATCCCCCAAAGTTTCTCTTGATGCAGTGCTGTAACATCAACCAGGTCGGCTTCTTGTTGTTCTTCTCAGCAAAACTGTACACCATCTTTATCAAGCTATCAAACACAAAAAATAAAAAATCTCACCATCTTTATCAAGCTATCACACAAGGAAACAAGCATACATTCATTTCAGCTTCCACATGGCATAAAGAGCAAAAGCATAAGGAGTGCATTTATTCAACAGAATGACATCAAATTGCAAAATAAAGAAATTGACACATAATTTTTTCACTCTATCTTACTAGTACATCCACTCAATGACAATAATTTGCAGAAGGAAGACATTGTATTTGATGACAAATCTCATCATCCTGAAGCATTCATTTATCATAACAACGTGCCACATTGAAGATGTATGAATATCAATTTAAAATTCATTTCATCAATCTCTTTTTCAATGACAATTTACCTGTAGAAATCCCTTAATCCAAAGAACTCCCTCTTTGTGATGACAGATTTAAACACTTGTAGGTAGGACTCTGCCAGGGGTTTGATCAGTGGCTTTATCATCTTACTTATTCTTTTGTTACTGGAGCATATTCCTCTGCAATATCAATGAAATACTAAATACATGTACAGTGCCTCCCTTTACTAATTTTTTTTAAACATATAAAACATACAAAGTAAATGCTGCAATTTACCGTATAGTGGATTTTTTTGGCGGGTGTAAAATTTGGCATTTTGCCTACTCAAAGGTATGCCAATAACTTTAGCGTAATTTATTTTAGCGGACGCAAGGTTTCAGCTCTTAACTGATGGACACTAAGAAGAGTACTGACTATTTTAGCGATTAAAATTTTAGCGGACTTGCATCACAACGCCAAAATAAGCCAAAATTAGCACCCCGCTAAAATTACCCGCTGTACGGTATTTTAAACCTTACAACTATGGGTTCAGAAAAATTGTATGGTTTGTTTACACATAATGACTGGCAATCAATTATTTGAATTTCAGTTAAATATTCCTTAAAGTAATTGCAATACATGTATCACTTGAATGTGAATAAGGTTTTGAATTACTCTGCACTCTCTATGAGCTCTTCCAGGTCGGGAACCTCTCTCTGTACAAGGATTCCTCGATTCATTTTGGCAGGATCCAGAGCCCAGTTAGAAATCCCTATGAAGGCTACCTGAAATAGAGAAAGTGGATTGTAATTGGTGATTAGGAAGACTTCAGACCTTAGTCATGTATTTCCTTTAACCATATTATTCTATATTCTCTTAGTCTTTTCCTAAAAATATTAAAGAACATTCCCAACAAAGCTAAAGTAACTATACAAATTGTTTACAAAGACAGACACATGGGCAAATTAACCTCATTATTCTATACATCATTTGCTCCACAACTCAGACAATTCAATATTAACCACAAGAAACAGAGATCATGATATACAATATATACTGAATGAATTAAAACATCACAAAAATCTTTACTTTTTTATGTTCCTCTGGTTGCTCATCACCCTGACAACCATCTTCCAGCAATGGATGCAATGTCTACAATTAAACAAAGAAAAACTGAATTAAATTTTTTGAAAAACTCATTGATCTTAATGTTTAGTCAAAAGATGGTAAGATATTCAACAATGCTCCCAACTATCCTAAAAAAAAAATTGCTACAAAAGTTTTGTGAGACGTTCTGATTATGTCAGTTACAATTCCTCATACTGAATTTGCTATCGAACTTGACATATATGTACATCATTATAATAGTCATTAAGAACATAATATAAGTCTTAAAATTTAATCAATGGCAACATCTGAAAAACTTCAATACTTTTTATTGTAAAAATTCCATGAGCTGACCTTGAGAGGCATTCTGGGAGAATCCTCTGCCAGTCCCACTTCGTCCAGTACGACAACAGACACAAATCTGTTGAGATCTTTGTCTTTCTGGTACATGGCACACTGACGGAAAGTACCCACAATTCCCTCTGGTACAGACAAAGGACTGCATTGGAAGGACACCATCTGGACCTATAAACAGTCCCAACAAGAAACATGATTTAAATGTAATTATATACATGTATGTTATGATTAATAAAACTCTTCAATATAGATGAAACCATAAGTAATAGTACTGTTACATCTCAAACACTGGTATCTGGAATACAAGTGATATGTTGCTAAGAAAGTGAAGTCTCAACCACCTTTTCCTTGCAGTATTTTAACCTTATCATCTCAGATTTTTGTATATTAATTCTTTTTCATTGCCACATCAAGCTCTAGATATCAAGGTTTAACTGTATTTAATTACAATATTTATTCAGAGAGATTTTTTAACATCAATATGTCACCTGTTTGTAGTTCCTGTAAATCTCTGTATGGGCAGCATTCCCCTGCATGGCATCGGCTACAATGGTTTTAGCCAGAGACTTAGAACTGCCAGGTTTCCCCACCAAGAAGAGAGGGATTCTGAGCTCTATACACACCACCATCATAAACACATTCTCTCTCAGAGCCTGGTTCTTAGCAATGTTGGCTCCCAAATTATCAATCTCCAAGAAAATGTTCTGGCATCTGGAAAATTCAATCATCATTTACATGTATTTTTAAATTTAGAATTAGTCAGTGGTAAAAAACATTTAGAATATTTTTTTCAATGCTTTTAGGCAAAAATAATTAACAGAAGTACTGTAACATCTTTCATAAAATAATTTGATTGGCTAGCTATTATTTGTGCACAACAAAATCATGGACTGTCATCAAAATTGCTCTTCACTTTAAATACCTGGTAATAATGTCCAACATTTGTTCAGCCCCTCTTTGCCCACCACCTTTCGGAAGGATACACGGAGGTCTAAATTCATTCACCATTTCTCTTCGGAACACATCTCTGTTTTTCAAACAAGCATGGTAGCAAACTCCAAGAGCCAGCACAAGTGACTTTGTCAAATCACTGACAGTCTGAAATGATTACATTAATCAATTTTACAGTATGCTCTTTATTCAAATACTGGGGTTTCATCAATATTCGATGAACACCAAAGGCTGAGGCACACTGACCTGAGGCTGAGGCACACTTACCTGAGGCACACAGACTCGAGTTTGAGGCACACTGACCTGAGTTTGAGTCACACTAACCTGAAGGTTGAGGCAAGCTGACCTGATGTTAAGACACACTGACCTGAGGCTGAGGCACACTGACCTGAGGCTGAGACACACTGACCTGAGGCTGAGACACACTGACCTGAGGCTGAGACACACTGACCTGAGGCTGAGGCACACTGACCTGAGGTTGAGGAACAGCCAGCTCCTGGTCCTCCATTTCTTCTTCCTCCTCTTCTTCTGAATCTTCCTCCTCCTCCTCCATCAGATCAAACAGATTTGTCTCCCCCTGACTCTGTCTGTAGAACCAGCTCATCACCTCCAGGACTCTCTCCACATCTCTCAGGCTGACGAAACTACACTCATCTTACACGATAGACAAAACTACACTCATCCTATAGAATACAAGTTTACTATAAAGAGAGTAAGGTGCATGACAATGCAGGCTTAATGCAATCACTGGAAAAACATGAACATTAATTGTTCCAACAGTGGATGCAAATAATAATTCTCTACATAAAAAAAATTGCAATTATCAAAGTTTGGATTTGTACTGTTTTTTTTCATATATACTGATAATCATAAACCCAGATAATTTAATATTTTTTCTTACCTGTTGTCTCCTCATGAATTCCTGAGCTGATGTAAGAATATGACTGACTGTTGTGTCTAAATTTGGTTCATTTGGAAGTTTTCCACCTCGAATCTAAAAAAAAAAAATAAGAAAAAAATCAAAAACTTAAATTAGATCAAAAGCTTACCTGAGTTCTACCTTCCTGAAATTTATTCTGAATACCTTTTCTGTGACTTACATATCTGAGGACCATCTGTTTGATGTACATTTCCTCCACATTGGTGTCCAGTTGTCCAAAGTCCCAGACCAGGGGCAGCATACTCTGGGGGAGGGGCTGGACTCTGTATACAAGTCTCCTCATGGGAACTCGACCTAAATTCCAGAACAAAATAATCCAAACATGCATGTGAAGTATGAAGAATGAGAATATAAATTAACCAGAGATGAAGCATGTCTTTGTTGAAAGTAAAAGTACCCATTCTGTCTGTGGTTTTATCAGCATCCACATGGTAACCCAGTCCAGCTTGTTCTAGTCTCTTGATCAGATCCTCAGAATGTCTTGAATTTAAACAGGAATTCATTATCATGCATATCAAAGTCAAGTTCTTAGACTTATTTTGCCAAATTTTGTCTGAGAGAGAAAAAGAGAATATCAGACGAGTGTGAGACTTAATATTTTCAAATACAAGCAGAAACTACATACTTTCTGTAGGGGTTACAAGCAGCCACGATTTTCAGGGTCTGACAGAGTTTGAGTGGTTCCCCCTCCATTGATCGGTCACACATGATCTCCTTAATTAGACCTATAGCCTCTGTAGTGTTAGCTTCATCAAAGAACAACACAGTATACAGTCTCTGTCCATAATTAGCTGTGTTCTCCTGAGCAATTCTCTCAGCCTCCAGTACTTTCCTGATGATGTCACTTCTGCGGGTGCCTCCATGAACCTATACAACATAACAATGTGCCAAATAATACAATAGCTCAAACCACATGAAAAGAGCAGTATTATAAATTGGTACATTGTTCATCCATTTTATGTGTATGAAAAATCCAGTATATTTTTACCTTCATAAGGATCATATTCTGGACCTCCACTCCAATAGGACACTGAAGTTGACACATGAATTTGATCAGACGAGTTTTTCCACAGCCAGTCTCTCCCATGATAATCACAGGGATGTCACATCTAAATCAAACAAAACAAGAAATTCAGCATTTGATTTTTCGAACAATTCATACAAAACAACAGTATGCAATCTTTAATTGCCGATACATATCTATAAGTGTGACACTATTTCTATAACAGGTTTACCTGAAGCGCATGTAGATGGCCAGTATCTTCTTGACATTGTCTGTTGTAAGTTCATAGGTCGGGTCAGGGTCAAATACATCTTCTACACCCATCACACTGCACAGTTTAAATAACTTCTGATCTCTGTGAAAAAAAATCATACTCACTGATAGTTGCCTGTGTCTTGCCATATTCTATTACTTATGTTAAAAAAAACACAAAAGAAAATAAATATACTTAAAGATTACCTTGGTAGACTGTCAAAGTTTTCATTGATAGGGACCCTGTTTCTGATGAGGGCGTCCTGTAGATTTCTTTTCATGATTCCTTGCTCTAGCACGGTCCCTGTTTGTACATCTATCAAGTTACCAGACTGTCTCTCTATGTTAAATCCCAGGAATGTCATCGAATGGTGATCAGGGTTAAAGAACAAGTAAGGATGGGGACTGTAAGAAATACAGGAAATCAATTTCAAATACCAAATAAGTTTTTCCTAGAGAAAGTTCAATTTCAATACAGACAAATCTTGATGAGACTGAGATAAAAGATTAAAGATATCTGCAAGTTTCAGACATTGAGGATAAAATTCCGAATGGAAAAGTGGATGGAACTTCCAACTCACTTCAGCATATCCATGGTATCTGAGATATTGACATTCGAAATACAAAAATATCCATTTCAGCAAAATCATTTAATGTAAAAAATGTTATCTAATCTAGAATGTTGTCAAACCTGGCCATTTGCTTAAGAACCAGTGGTGTAGGAATTAGACAAGTTTTACTGTATGTGCTGTTTATTGGTAAAAATATGGACTTTACCTGCTTTCCCAGGTCCTCCTGAGCTGAAACTGACGGAGCACTACCTCCTCATTCTCCTCCTCTTCCTCAGACTCCATCCTCTGTAACATCTGTATGGGAGACTCCTCACTCATGTTCAGGGACCGTGTAGCAAAGTCCTGTCAAATTCATTCAATATAGTTAAACAAATCAAATGGCTTTAGATCTATAAATGACCTGCCTTTCTAAGTAAAAAATCATTAATTTCTATGATCAAGGAAAGAAAGAAAATTCCATACCCTGGACATTTGGATCAGGAATCTTAAGACAAATTGTGAAAATCCAGGTAAATCCTCAGCAGCTGCCAGACTCACAAAGGCCGAGTTCTCAAAGTCCACCAGCTGTGTGTTCAGGAACCAGACAAAATGTCTCAGTTCAGCCCAGGAGGGATCTCTGATACCACAGTGTCTGTATTAAAAACAGAAATATATGTTATTTACAATATCTTTTTAAGGCCACATATATATGCAGGCAGCTCATACATAACTGGTTTTATACTGTGTTTTATCGATTGGTGCAAATAATCACTTTGAATTGACAAACAGATTTTACAGTTATGTATAAGACAAAAGTTAAGGTAGTGTATTACTTGAGCAGTGTCTGGAGACAGGTTTGGGGGTTTCCCTCTGTCCTCCTCATATCTATGTCCCCCAGACCTCGATTCATGTCCAGTCTGTACAAATACTGGAATGGTCTCTGGAAAACGTTGCTTTTGAACTCCTTCCCATCAAATAGAAGGTCATTCTGTCCAATATCTATAAACAGTTTGAAAGAATACAATACATAATATACATGTACATGTAGCATATAATTGAATGCCAAAAATATTTTTAAAATACAATGTTTAGGCCATTTTGATGTAGATGGCAAAAAGAAGTTACCTGGGGCATTTCCTTTGAGACTTTCTTGTGGTGATCGACAGGTCACTTCAGGCAGAATATCCAGGCATCTATGCATGCATTTTATAAAGCCTCTCTGTGAAAAGCAAACCAATTTTACCTCAACCCTCAACATTTTTGCTACTAGCATTCTAATATCAAGTGAGGAATACACACATTTTTATTTGACAACAGATCTGAATCTTCAAACTAAGATGAAAATAATAGATTTCAAAACTAAAAAGTTATTAATAAAACAAGACAGAGGAATCTGACCTGTTCCTGGAAGTCCCTGGCCAGTAGAGGCATGGTCTCCACAATGTAGAGGTCGTACGGCAGCTTCCTCCACACGTGTCCAGTACTGTTGGTCAGACAGCCCAGGATCAGTAGCTGGAACAGTAGGTAGTCCACCCCCTCCTGGACCTATCAACCAATCAGAACACAGAATTTATATAGACTTTACCCCTCCTGGACCTGATCAACTAATTAGAACACAGAATTTATATAGACTATTATAATAATAGTTATATATCAGTAACTAGAACAACAGGTAGTCTACCCATTCCTGGACCTGATCAACCAATCAGAACACAGAATTTATAGACAATTCTTCAAAATTAGACAACATGCAGTTAAGTATATTTATACATGTATGTATGTTTGTTGATTTTTGTCTATAGAAGGCCCCGGGAAGAATAGTGCTTGCACTAATCAGGTTACCTTCTTTATAAAGAATTATTATTATTATTACTATGGAAATGCAGTGTTCTCTGTATGTCTTTTATTCAGATCTCAATTAAAACAGAGTAAAACACACTTCATGAGCATGCTTAAAATGAGTGAACATGCTATAAAAATTAATTGACGCTATCAGTGAAGTAGTTTTCATTACTCCTTGCTGGCTTTGAAATGTAATGTGAAATTAATGTTATCATAACAAATTACTTTAATAACAGCAAAATTGTCTGTCCATGGAACTTTGTTTCAAGCTTGTTTTTCCATTTATCAAGTCATTTATAGAAGAGCATTTTAAAAGAAAATACTCCTTACCTCATGAGAAAGATCAATGTGAAACAGTCGTGGTTCTATTTTCCCAGGATGCAACATGTTCTTCAGGAGTTCACCCATGATGTCATCAACGGAGATTTCCCTCTCATGTAAAGGAATTGATACCACGGCCTTCTTGCTTCTGATGACACCACTGTGTAGACCTTGGAGTTTTTCTGCCAATCTTTTCTTGTGTAAACTCTTGCCAACTCCTGCTCTCCATGATTTCACCACTCTGACTGTGCAACTATTAAGCAAGAAAAAAATACTTACTATAATACAATACATGCAAAACTACATCCTGCATGTTTTCATGTGAATCATTTGTTAATTGCAACATTGATAATTCACCAAAGCTTGACAGAAATAAAACATTTCCCACCAATGACTTCTAATTTCTTTTGCCCATACACACAAAATTATGAATGACAGGCTTAAAAACAAAATATATTAATATCTAGCAAAAGTTCAATCATGTTTCTTTGCAACATGCAATTATTTAAACTTACATTCGGCAATTTAGTACTGCCATTCACACGTCTTAAAATCATTGTACAAGTTTAAATAAATACATAATCAATACATTTATTTAGTAACTTACTGTTCAAAGTCAGCTTCAGCAGCAGGTGTGGCACTAGGTCTTTTGATGTCAAAGGTCAGTTTATCCTTGATATATTTAGTCATGTTGTCATGTGTCATCAGAGGGAGAGGGGGGCGTCTGTACTTGTCCAGGGCAGCCACAATTCTGGAGTGGTACTCCCTCTCTGTGCTACACACCACCACCAGTTTGTACGGAATCTCTGTAAGAAGATTAAGGTATTGTATTATGTTAATAAAATTAATATCCATTAATAAATATTCAAAGCATGACAAACCTGAACTACTATCATTTCTAATAAGGCTTCAGTTGGATTTTGAATACCAATTATCAGTTTTTGCTTCACTTTTATTTGCAATTCTTGCTCACACATAAAAGTTGTTTAAATTTTACAGTAAGTATGGTTTAATTTTACAGTAAGTACCAAGTTCCACAGCTTTCTGCATGTGATGTTCCAGCCTTCTCTCCCCTTTATCACTGACTTCATAATCCAGCAGGTCCCCATTGACCAAACAATGGATTCTGTCTGTTGTGTCCAGTACAGCTCTTCTCCAAAATATCTCCACCTAAGATATAGAGAATACTTAAATTAATGAACTTTTTTTTGAGAAATGAAATAATTTCATCATGCAATCCAAAAAAACGTTTGAGCCTGATAATGCTATGTCAGTCAATTTTCACCCTTTCTACCAAAATTAAAATCAATTTTGCCTAGTACCTAATAAGTATGTTAGAAGTATTTGTATGCCTTTGAGTATACTTAAGATTGACATAAATCTTTTGAAAAAAAATTTTTTTTTTTCATCCAATAAACAGACCTCATCCAGAGTGGTGTGTGGAGTACACATGAGAATCTCATCTGACTGAGGAAGAGGCTGATCTGGATCATGGCTGTAGATTGTCAGCACTGTGTTCAAAATCTCATCTGAAAAACATATTCAAAGTTGACTAAATAATCTGACAATTAAAAGTCATATAAACTTGCATTATTTTCAAATCAATAATCTTGAAATTTTAGCATACTTGCAGTACACATGTTAAAGTGATCCCAAATGTAATCAAAGCTTCCTTAAATGTGTTAAATATTAATATGAAGTCATTCAGTAATGCTTAAGATATTGATAATGATACCACTGACAAACATACAGACTGTAATAGAACTTTTGACATGTATCAAATTTCAATTGTTAAAAAATAATAATGATGACACCTGTTTATCAAGTACCATCAAGTACGTACCTTGGGGACAGAGTAACAGATTTGGAACACCTTTCTCAAAGCAAGGTAGGAAAGGGCGTTGAACACTAAATGTTTCTAAAAATAAGAAGAATTGAATGTTGCTACCGAAAACTCACAGATGCCTGGTAAAATTTTCAAATATCCAATGATTTCAAGATAGATCTCAAGGTTTTTAAGATACATAAAAGAAAAGGTGGTAGGCAGCATAACTTGTTCTCAGCCTGATCATATCCATGATATTCAAAATATCAAAGTTTGAGATATTGAGTTTTAAATGTACTTTTAAACTAATGTCTAAACAACAAAGCACAATAGAAAAGAATTCTGCTGATCAATATACAGTAAGTTTATGTATGGTAAATATAGTATACAGACCAGTTTCTGCGAGTCTCCTGAGGATGATCCCCAGATGTTCCACACTGAGATAATCTGACACACTGGAGGAAATGGAGGACAGGAACTCCTCCCACAACTGTTCTAGGTCTGGAATCAGGGTGTCCGCTGTGGTGCTACAACAGACATGATTCATATTTACTGAAGTTATTTCCCTTTGAGGGAAGGGGGGAGGGGGGTCAATCAGATTGAAAAAAAAATTTGCAATGATATTCCGCTTATCTCCATTTGTTAAAGTCTTACAGTCCAATATACCCCAAGTGATTAAAAGAACATTAATTTTGCAACCTTTGAATCAAATTCCCTGATCATGCTAATGTCGTCTGCTCTTCACAAGGAAAACAGGAAGTGGAAGTAAAAGGGAGATTACTCTTTAGCACTTGTACTCTTGGTACTTGTTGTTTCCCCTTGGACTTATATTTATAACTAGCCATGGCATTACTTTAGTATAAAATGCAGTATAATATAGTATATATTTTTTAAATCTAATATTGATGTTAACTGTAAGTACACAGAAATAAGTAGCCCAAGGAGTGGACTCATTGGACCCCCCCCCTTTTTTTTTATCAAAGACTATGCATATATGTGTCACATAGTGACAAAAGCAAAGCACATGTATTCATGCAATACTTATACTATCTCAAATTTTAATGAAAAATTGCTTGAAGTTGATGTTTTTAAAATATTTTTCCTGAAAAAAAAAAATTAAAAAATAATCTTGACTGTTCCTCCTTACTCTTTGTTGTACTGGAGATCAGACAGGATGTTCTGGGTCATAGTGGAGATGGATGTGTCAGATTTTGTCCAGCCCTCATAGTCCTCAACTACCACCTCTACCTGCTCCTCACTCACTTCTACCTCCATATCTGCCTCATCCTCATGTTCCATACACCACACTATACCTGTGAATATAATCATAATTTGTGTTGGTCATAGTACAGTGCAGCTAATGGGAATTTCTCAAACTTCACATTGAAGCACAGAAATGTCATATCAGTAAGTAGGGGTGGGACAATACACTGATACATACTGATATTTTCCTCTAAGATACGGTTTACAATATTGCAAGCATTCAAATATCGATACAAAACGATACACGAACGACCTACCCAAAAATTGAAAATGAAAGTACTTCTCTTTGGAGGAAAATGACGGCTTGTACGAAGCGAAGAGATGATGTTGATATTGAAAACACACTGTACAACTAATAAGTCGTTGATTAGGGGTAAATTTTTTTTTCTTTTTTAAGCAGCCTTGGATGTAAAGCATGCTTTACTCAGAAAGAATCATTTCTAAGCATTTGATGTAATTAATATATATAATTGTTAGTCCATCTTGTACTTTTTTGTAATCTCAACTTGGCTACAGACTTTTAGCATTTAATAATAATGTAAATGTGATGTTTCTTAAATGAATTTTTAGTCAGTGTTCTTTGATGAACTACACAACTATTTGTAAACAACTTGATAATAGAAATTTGGTAATAATAATATGTACAGAACAGAACAGAATATTTGATTTCTAAGAATTTAGAGCCTAAACATGTATTATTGTTTTTGTAAAGTTTTAGTCAATGAAATTGATGAACTTCAAGTATTAATTTCAAAGCACACATAAATTGTTGATTAAATGTTAAGAAAAAAAAATGAAATAAAATACTAATTTTAAAAATAGTTTTATAATTATCATAATATCGAGATACCTATCGCATCGCAAGAGCTGTGTATCCTCCCACCCCCTATCAGTAAGGAGATGGGGTGTGGGAATCTCTGCCCCCCTTTATACATACACCTTGTATCTACTGCTGTTAAATGCTTATTCATTCTATTTTCTATAAATAAAACTAAAAGGCATGTGCACCTATTGTTGACATAAAATTCTGAGTTTATTGGTTTCAACTTTCAGAGCAATTTCCATGAAACTGTATTAATTTTCCAACTTCTAATCATTACCTTCTTCAATTTCATCCGGATCAATGCCTCGCTTCATAGCTTCTCTGGCTAGCTTCTCAGAGTAACCAGAATCCATAATGGCTGAAATGAATTTAGCAATAGCCTTTGTTTGGCTTTCATCATCTGAATCAACTTTGTCTTCCTCCTCATCTTCTGTCATTTCAACTACCTGTTCAGCCTCTTTTTGGGACACATCACCTTTGGCCTTTTTCAGAGCACCAATCAAATCCATTTTTGTACAGTCATGTTTGACAATAGATAGAAGTGGGTAAATAAAATCATTTGGTTCTACCTCACCTCCCATTAACACCAACTCCCTTTGCAAAATCACCATTTGGTCAATAGTGAAGAAATTGAGATGGGGATAACTATCCCTCTTCTGGTCAATATATTTCAGCCACTCTTCCAAGCAAAATTCCATAAATTTAGCAAGTCTGGGTATTATGGTGCTTACATCCTCTTCCTCGCTTCGTCTTCCTTTTAACTGAGTGCATCCTTCCCCACTTCCAAACTTGACAAATGCACATACATTTCTTTCAGGATCACAAAGAAATCTGGCCTGCCAGTTTGTGAATAGCACACAGCCAGACGACACAAGCTTGATGTACACATTGCAAAGTCTTACTATTGCATCAAAAACCTACAAAATATGAAAGAGAAGATGCTGAGTAACACATTCCACATCTTTTCTTTTCTCTGAATTTTAATCCTTTCGCAGATAGGTGAAGGTGTTTCCTAGTACAATATATAACCTAAATTTATTTTATAATCATTCAAGTCATATGATTATCAAAAATAATACAACGGTGAAACTGAATAAAACCACCAATTTCCTTTTGTTTTCATATACAAAACAACAAAAACAAATAAATCGATCTACCAAAAAGATTAATCTACTTTATATTTGCAAATTAACATGACTTTAACCTTTACTTGCCATAACTGTTGAACAAATAGAGCCAAGTCTTTCAAAAACTTCACATGTGTATTCATTGTAACAAGATAATTCTTTACATCATTTTTTTTTTATCTTAAACCTTGACCTCAGAGTTGATTTACTAATAAAATCTCTTTGACCTTGGTCATAACTTTTAAACACTAATGTCTTATAACCAGGGTTTTCATATTTCATATTCCTTGTTACAAGACCTTCTAAGTACCATTAATTATGACCTGTAGAATCCCTTGGTATTTGCATCACTTTCAAAAAGCTTTAACTTTGATCATAACTTTTGAATAGTAGGTGCTTTAGCTTTCATATATCACAGAATGACACCAATACATATAAATTTTGACAATTCCTTTCTTGTTTTTTTTTCTACTGACCTTGACCTTTCAGATTGATTGCATTTGACAAACTTTGACATTCAACAAATGCAGTCATATGGGGCATCAATGTTTCCCAATCACATACTGTGAAATCACAAATTTTCGTGGTGGGTTAATTTGTTGTTTTCTAGGTGTGAGAAGACCCCAAATTTATGTCCACAACGAAATGTGAATGTGACATACATAACTACTCAACAATTCAAATCCCCATTAACCAAGAATTTTTCCTCCAATGAAAATTTGACCCCATGAAAATATGTGATTTTACAGTATTGTTTCTCCTTAAGATTAGCCTTTTCAAATTAAATGTGACAGAACCACAATTTTCAGACATTAATATCTTACAATGGTGAATCGTTCCACATCATCACTGCCAAGCTCTGCCTTTCCAGCCACCAGCATGAGTTTACTCTGAAGCTCTTGTAGCTCTTTAAACTGGTATCGTCTTGGAAGTCGAGACCCTTGTTCATCTTTCTGGACATGCAGTTGCAGGACATCACTTATGGTCTAAAAATATTTCATCGGATCCATGATTTAGTAATTTTTTTCATAAATCAATTTAATACATAATATAGGTACAATGTTTGTAAGAGTAAGGAGACTGTATTCTGATAATTATGAAAACACTGGTGCAACAACTGACATCCAATGAAAAACACACAAACTTTCCATCCAAACAAAAAAATTCATCACTTCTATGCTCTTCATTGTCTCAAGTATTGACTCACAGGTTTTTCTTTCTGTAGATTTGGGTCAATCTTTCCCACCATGTATATCCCTACAGAGTTGATGGCCTCGGCTTGTCTCATGGACGTCACCTCTACTGAACCCTGGGCAGACTTCACACTGTTCAGCCATTCCAACTGTCTATTTGTGTCTCTCTACAAAATGCAAGTAAATAACCTATTAAGTACATGTCTATACTTCTTTTTCATAACATTTAAAAATACTTCATAAGAAAAAAAACATATATAGCACACTTAAAATAATTAAACAACATTGTAAATTCTATCTTCAATAAAAATAAACGGTTAACTAAATTTTTTTCTCACCAGTTTTGTTGGTAGATGTGGATCAGCCTTGAGCTCTTTCCAGACCACTTGGCATTTCTCTAAAAACTTGGAGTAATCACAATCGTCATCTAAGTTGAAAATCAGTGGAGCATATCCAGTCGTGGCAGCATGCAGAAATTTGACCTTGGCGACCTCCATGTCACCTTCACCAGCGGAGATACTGGCAAGGTCAACAAACACCTTCAACTCCTTCAAACCTTATCAGAAGAAAAGAAAGAATTAAGCATTTAAAAACTTTCATCAGTTATTAAAAAAAATTCTTATAATTAATTCTGACAACCTTGATTCTAATTGCTTGCATGCACCAGCAATTTTATGTGGACTAAAAGTTTACAAGGAGCTGGTATTCATAGCATGGATTAAATATTGAAAATTATCAACACTCCACAAAAGCCAAACTGTCAATAATACATTTTGATTTTGCCATCACATGCATTTTTACGTACTTTCCATTGATGTTCTTAACCATTCAATAAGCTGTTTACAGTTGATGAATTGCTCAAGACACTTTGCTTCCTCTTCTCCTATTCCCTTTAGCACGTTACATGCATCTATTAAGGTATTGTTAAATTCACTCATTTTAGCACCAGAGTCTGTCCCTTGCACCTAAAAATGTAGTCATTGAAAATTATAAAAATTAACTGTGAACATAGTTTTCTGTAGAGTAAATGTTCAAGCTAATCCATGAACCCCAAAGCATATGCATACAAAGAGAAATTATTGCAACATCATTTCACAAGCTTGCAAATACCTGATGGCATAACAACTTACAGTGAGGAAAATTCTGCTATAAACATTCCTTTCATGATTTACTATTTTTCAATGATGTAACAAATTTTACAGAAGATGAGAACAATGTAGCAGACCAAACAAGGATTCGAACCAAGGCCCCCTGAATCTCCAGTCAGGTGCCCTAAAAGCCAAGCTATCTGGCCACCAGTTATTGTACCTGTCTGACCTTCATACAAATTCAACAAAACCTACAAGTTTGTTCACAATAAAAATTCAATTTTTGAAAATGCTGCAAAGTAATTACCATTTTCACAATCATCTTGATGGGCTCAAAGTTACCCTTCAAATCATACTCTCTGACAACTGTCAGAATAACATTGGCTCCTGTGACACACTGCTCAAGTTCTCTGTGTTGCCTAACTTGTTGTAGTCGTTCCTTTATCCAACCTTTTCTGCCTTCAGCTAAATGCGATAGCTGCTGTTCTAAATTATCAATGGACACATTTCTAAAATGGTCTTGAAATTCTCTGAAAGTAATGTCCCCAGTAGCAATACGCTTGCTGAGCTTAAGCCAAGCTGGGTACACAACCTGCCAAACATTCTCCATGACTTCATCAACTGTCAGAGGACTCCCCTTTTTGGTCTCCTCCCGTTGTCCTTGCTTAATCCACATATTCAAGAAGAGAGAACCATGGGATAACCTGAAAAATATCATGCAATTCCAAAAAGTAAATACAGATGACTGTACAGAAGGTCCATAGGCCTATAAATGCTTACCGGTACTTATAAGTATAAACAAATAAACAAATTATGAAGATAAACCACTTAATTAACCTCAATTCAGAAGAGACATATACTATTTTCTTTGTCTAGCAATTGTTCCATCCCCTATCCACAGTTTATTAGAGTCCATTCAAGTCCAACAATGTCTTGATACTTTTTTCAAAGTTATGATCATGATGAAACAAATTACTTTTCCAGGGTTATGACACAAAATTACCTATTCAGAGTTATGACATAAAATTACTCTATCAGAGTTATGATAATTAATTCTTCAGAGTAATGATACAAAATGACTTTTTTGTGTAATTATACAAATTACTTTTTTCAAAGTTATTATACAAAATTACTTTTTCAGTTATGATACAAAATTACTTTTTCAGAGTAATGACACAAAATTTCTTGAAATTTTTAGAGCTAGGATACAAAATAATTACTTTTTCAGAGTAATTCACTAATTATCATGATTATGCAAAATTACTTTTTAGAAATTATGATACAAAAGTACTTTTTCAGAATTGTACTGCAAGAAATCTGTTCATCTGCTATTAACAGATTTTTTAAAAACTTTATTAATAAAAATATGGAATAATTGATGACCTAATTATCGAACTCCCAAAATTAACTTTACCTTTCAAGATTAGACAACACAGTTTGCATATCTGGAGACATATTAAATGCAATGACCTCTGGATCATACACTTCAATGTCAGAAATATGATCAATGAATCCTGGTTTACAGATTTCACACAGTTTTCTGTCATCTAAGTTGGCATATCCTTCCATCTGTCTATCAATGTCTGTAAGATCAACTGCAAAACAAAATTTCAGTTCAAAATGATTATAGACAGAACAAATGAGCTTTATAGCAAATGCCTGTTTTCTTGGTGATATTTTAAAAATTCTGGTACACTAAAACTAGCACTCACTATGACATGCTGAAGCATTGTATCTAGTGTCTTTAAAATGTTTGTCTAAAATAGTACTTTATTTCTTAAATCTATACAAGACTTGAGAGGCAAATGAATTTGGCATGTTGATTAATACTGTAAATTATTTACATTGTACTTGCAAGAACTTCTGAATTATTTTTGGGGTAATTGTAATATCTTCACAAAAAATTTATTATCCCAAATTTTATTAGCTTAGGACAAATACAGTAAAACCACCTATCATCAAAATTTTGTTTTGATTATTTTTTAAGATTTAATAAGATGTGAAAATTTAGTGATCAACTGTAGGTATTACCATTAAAATGTTGACACATCTGGATCAGTATCCCAACATTTGCCTTCACAACTTCAAACTTCCTTGTCTCTTTACACCTTAGGATCAGCGTGTCCCTTATCAGTGCTTGGTTTAAATCCTCATTTTTCTCACACTTCCAGATGATGCAGTTTGCATGTACAAAAGTGTCCACTGAATCATTAATAATCTCAATATCACCAATCAGAATTGTTCCTACCAGCAACTTGTTCAATGTTTCTTTCAGCAACGTGGCTGCTTGGGTGAAGTGTAGCTGGCACTCGTCCGACAACACCCCAGATTTCTCTTTTTGATCTACAAGTCATGAACTTAATTTACATTCTGAAAACATGGATATTCATGCACATCATTCCACAAGTATTAATCTTAATAGGCAGAAGTGCTTTCATGCAAATTCATTTATGATGCAAGAAAGAAATGAATCTTAAGTGTACATGTATTTCAAATTACTAAATCTTTCTCAAAATTTCAAGCATTTAAATTTTGTGTGATTTCAACACTAGCAAGAACATGTATCAATGCCAAGGAAAATTCAAAATTAGGTATTTAAACATAAAATTCATATGTTATTACTACTGAAATACTCACAAAACATTCCCAAGAAATGGACAAAAGGTTTCCAGGACACTGTGAATTTCAAAATTGGTCTTGGTTTTGAATCTGTCAATTTGTATTTTTCCCATGATCTTTCAAAAAGCTTTGACAACATGTTTCCATACTTTGCAGCTCCAGGACCTAACATTATCTTATCTTCACAAATACATCCCTTTTCCAAAGCCTGAATAAAGAATTTAAAGATATATTCAAAATTATATAATTATTTTTTTTCTCAAAACTTAAATCTTGAAAAAGTGATTGTCTTAAAAATCTTGAACTTTCAATCTTAAAATGCATATAAATGTATATATTAAATAAAAGTGTACGTCATAAAGAACAAGGTTCACTTATGTCCTTTTTTGGTCCTGTGAATTTCTGAAGGGGGGGGGGGGGCGTACTTAATCCCATTAGTTTGCTTAACAATCTTAACTTTTCATAGCATTTTTACACTTGATTAATAAAATATGACTTCATCATAATTATGCTGAATTACGAAGAAAATTAAATAAACAAGAGATGTTTGTAAAACACTTATGCCCCCCTCCCTCCAAATTGGAATTTTTCTAAGTCTACAGGGCATAACTCTGTCAAAAATGGTTCAAATGTATCCCAAACAGAACTTGACCTATATATTTATGTGATATACAGTCAAACCTGTTTTAAGAGGCCATTTGTGGAAGAATGACAAATTGGCCACATAAGACAGGTGGCCACTTATTCCAGGTTTCAAACCAATGAATAAAAATTTGCGACCACAAATGCATACATGTTAACTCTCCCGATTTAGGCGGGAGTCTACCGCTTTTTCACTCCATCTCCCGCCTACCGATTTGATTCAGAAATCTACCGCTTTTCTACAAAAGCTGCGTCTAAAGTATTTTTGGTTCGCTTGGGTATCCATTTTTGAAGCCACTCTCATAAAATCTCGCTAGATATCGCGTGATTTGACTCGGAATCATACAAACGCTTTTTTTGTACATAGATTTCAAGCACGGATTTGACAACGACAACAACATAAGACTACCAGTGATTACATTGGTTACGATAAATTAATCAACATCCCTGCCATGAAAAAGGAGATACTGCTTTTAAGAATTAGATGAAAACATTTGACATCGTCTTTAAAAGCACAGAAGCTCTCAAGTTTATGAATAAAGTCAATAGAAATCACTCGATTGACCAAACCTTGTGGCACATCTCTACTTTCGTTTTCGATCATCGCGGGAAATCTGATTTATATAACGAAAGATACGAACTTGTTTTGGATCTAGATTAAACCATGCCATCATTTGTTTTGTTTAAAAACTGAATGAACATTCAGAAGAATTGCTTCTAGGCTATTTCAGCAAAGATCACTCTTCAAAAGGCTAAGTAAAGCAGCCAATCCAAGCAAAATGATGAGCATGAAAATATTTGAATTGTACAATTTATGTCAAACGTAAGGTGTTTCGGTCTTCTTCTTTGCTGTTCATATTTAAGATTAATTAGGTAGGTACCTGATTTCATTTAGGCTTATAATATCCATGTATATTACCTGAAAGATATCGATAATCCAAGCGTTAAACAACACGCGCGCAATGCTACCGCTTTTGAGGTCTGAATCTCCCTATTTTTAATCACAATAGGTTAACATGTATGCAAATGTTTATTTATTTTCACACATATCCAAATCCACAATTTCAACATATTTAAAAAACTTGGGATGTTTTAAGTCACATGAAATCCCTTTCCTTATATTTCATTTTATTTGAATTTCTGAAAGAAATCTGTTTTTGTTTGTTTATTTTGTGTTGGTAATTTTATAATTTACATCACACGAAATTATGAAATGTTCTAACAACTCAGCATTTTCATGATGCTGTGTAAAGCTTTTTAGTTTTTCTAGATATGTATTTATATATTTATATTACATAAAAGGTTATTCGCGAGACTGACTAATTGACTTGATCATCTCAGGCAAAAATGTATTGAGTTTATGTAATAAACATATTAAACTTACTTTCATATATGTACATTAAGAACACCAAAAAACATTTGTTATCAATAAATCATTTAATCATATTAATTAAATTATTAAATCCTGACAGAATTCAAATTAAACCTACAATTATTGGTCATTAACTCATTATCAGCTGTTCATGTTTGGCTTCGTATGAGGATACGAATTAAGTCATGTGTCAGACGGAAGTCGTGTGACAAAACAGACAAAATGGCCATGAAAACAGGCATGTTGAGCGCACGGGACCTAAAAACACTGGCCACTGGCCGCGTTAGACAGGTGGCCGCTTAAATGAGTTAAAATATAGTGAAAATATGAAGGGGCGGGATTAAAACTGGCCGCTCATGGGGAGTGGCCGTTGATTAAAGGTGGCCGTAACAGCAGGTGCGACTGTATCTGTAAACCAAATTTCATTTCAATATGTGCAATGATTGTGAAGAAAATGAAAGGAAACTGCAAATAATTTTTCTAAGTCAAAGGGACATAACTCTGTCAAAAATGGCGCAATTATACCCAAAACAGAACTTGATCTAGATATTCATCTGATAAATCTGTATACTAAATTTCATTTCAGTATGTGCAACGGTTGTGAAGAAAATGAACGGAAACTGCAAATAATTGGAATTTTTCTAAGTCCAAGGGGCATAACTCTGTCAAAAATGGTGCGATCATACCCTAAACATAACATGACCTAGATATTTATGTGACATATCAGTATACCAAATTTCATATCAGTATGTGCAACGGTTGCAAAGAAAAGGAACGGAAACTGCAAATAATTGGAATTTTCTGAGTCCAAGAGGCATAACTCTTACAAAAAGGATGCGATCGTACCCAAAACAGAACTTGACCTAGATATATATGTGATATATCAGTATACCAAATTTCATTTCAGTATCTGCAACGGTTGCGAAGAAATGAACGGAAACTGCTAATAATTGGAATTTTTCTAAGTCCAAGGGGCATTACTCTGTCAAAAATGGTGTGATTGTACCCAAAACAGATCTTTACCTAGATATTCATGTGATATATCAGTATACCAAATTTCATTTCATTATGTGCAATGGTTGTGAAGAAAATGAACGGAAACTAAGTGGATCGACAGACCGACGGACTGCAGCAAAGCAATATGCCCTACCTTCTTCTAAGGGGGGCATAATAATATTAATAGCTGTATGCACTGTTTCCTACCTGAAAAGCATAGTTTCCCAATATTTCTTGAACAACTGGACTAAACTGTTCTGCTCCACTACAGTACAGTTCTACAAGACGTTCTTTTGTCATTTCAGTCTAAAAAGAAAACAAAAAAAAATATAAAGTACATCAATGTAAGCACATGCAGTGTTCCTCACACATTAACTTAAGTATATCTGATGCATGATATTCTCAGATTCAATGAAGTTGAATGTATAGCAGTATATGGTCTAAATACTTAGTATAAATAAATAATTTTATATTTTAACAACAGTGTGTAGGAGTGGAATTCTCCCCAATTTAAACCTTGTCCTGTCCTTCAAGAGTAATCCACCTTTACTTTTAATCAATTCTTAAGAAACTATCTGGTTAAATTTTTCAACTGTTTTCCTATTCCTATGCTAATGATAAATACATCTTTCAACCACAGCATTTACTGGTAGCCTTAATTCATTTGCTCAGCTAGGTGAGCTAAAAAGTCATCAACAGTTTGTAAATTACCTTTCTATCAAGTTGTCCCTGCAACTTATCTTTCAATTCATTGATGAATGCATCCTTAATTGAGCAGGCTGGAATTTTCACGGACAGCACACGGTCCCAAACCTAAAATAAAATGTTCCATTACTAGACCAAAGAGTGTTTTTTGTTGTACATGTATAAGCAAAATTTATAAAATCATGGTGTTTTTTTTTTTTTCTAAATTGCCCAGTCAATATTGGTCACTCGAAATAAAATCATAAATTTTAATTGACTGTTTTGCTTGTTATTGTTATTCCTATCTAATACCTTCAAGTCATCCTCAACTGTTGGATAAAAATTAAAACTATCCAACCAGTATGTAATCCACTTCCTGTTTTCAGACAGAGAAAGCATGTGTGCATTTTTCTTTGGAAAGTTCTTCGCTACCTCACAGTTCTTTTCTATCAAATAATCAAACATGGCCAGGGACAAAATATATGCCTCAATTACTCTGACCATGAGCCAGTTTTCCCTCTTAAACTTTGTATGAGCCTGTTGTAGCAGATCACATCCAATCTTGAAGGACAAATAGCAGCTGGTCAGTATGTTTTTGGATCTGAAAATTTAAATTTATGATGATTGACAGACAGAAAATTCACTGATTAATGCATTGTAATTATAAACATGACACATATACGCTATAGCATGTATAGATCACTAAATTTTCATGTACCTTTTTCTCAAGATATTTATAAATCCTTTTTAGTGAAACAAAATTTTCACAAAATATGCCAGGTAAAGGTCACTGCTCTGTATAATTTTAAGGAATACAGTGCTCTTATATATGTGAGAATGAATTTTTTTGTGAGCACACTGTCTTGTGTAATTATGCGAAAAATAAATTTCTTGCAAATAATAAGTGATTAATAGTACAGTGAAACCTGTCTAATACAACATACATTTGGAGACAAATTTTATGTGGGAATAGACAGGATGTCGGATTGCAGTGTTAAAAACATGAAAAATAGTCAAATAGAAAAGAAATTTTACTTCGGAATTCATAGTGTGTCGGATTATTCAGGTGTCGGATTAGACAGTTTTCACTACATATGTCTCTTTACAGTTTCAATTAAGCAATAAACAGAAACTATAATTACAGCATCACAGTCAATAAGACATATTGGCTCTGCTTACCTAAGATGTCAAAGGAAAGTGACAGCCTTTCTTAGTACAAGAGGACAACTTGGAAATGCAGTTTTAAAGTAAATGACATTTCAAGTTTGACAAATTTACATTAAGGTAATTTACATACGCTGGAACACATTTTGAAAATTGAAAGAACATATGACTAAGACCAAAAATTTAGGTTGAAAGTGAAATTTTACAATTCAAATTAATGATTGATTCAGTTAAAAATTATTAGGCAGCATAAAAATGTTACGTTTTACTAACAAGTCCTGCATATGTATTACACTGATATGAGAGATTCCTTAACCTAGCTGAGTATGCTCAGTGTTCAAGAAATCAACGACATGATTATGTTTTCATTAATACTTATATATTTACATTTCCAATGTCTTTGTCTGAGATAAATAACCAAATGTAAATGTAATTGATTTCCTCATGAATGTCCTTTGGCGCGGTTCCAAAAAAACCACGTGAAGGGCGGGACAAAACCTAGAGAGAAGCAGGGTTGGAGCCCGTGGATTGGCGGAATCAAAGCATGTAAATATAAGGAATAACTGTCAGATTTTTCAAATTCATGAAGATGATCAATGGATTGGCTTGTGTGATAATTTCATGCATAAACGCCTCCGCGTTTATGCAAATTATCACACAAGCCAATCCATTGATCACTTCATGAATTTGAAAAATAAGACAGTTATTCCTTAAATATTGAAGCTTTAAGCAAACTTACATATCATTTTCTTTCTTTTGACTGTGTTCAATCAGCTGTGATAAAACTGTTTCCAAACAATTACGCACAATCTAAAATCATAAAATGAGGGCAGTAAGTTGTAAAATTCAAATGTGCACAGTGACAGTGATGCCCAATTATATACCACAACTTCTTAAAAAATGAAACCCAGCTAGGCCACATCCTCACCCAAGTTATTTCAAGTCCTCCTGTTCTTCATAAGATTTAGTTTTTTTTTAATTGCATGAAAAAGTGTGAAACCATTATGCAGTGAATTTGCATGACTTTAAAATATACAATGAGGAGAAGATACTAATTAATAAATAATTGTTTTCTAACCATATTACCCAGGTGACCTAAAAATAAATGTTACCTTTTGGCTGGATTCACTATCAAAGTATTCAGTTCTGAAATAGAAGTACAGTCCTGCTAGCGTGACTTCAGGAGGGAATGCTTTGGTGGTGACTACATCCAATTTTTGTAGTTTGAGAACGGCCATGATAGACCTTGGCAGATAGAAGTCCATCTCAAACATTGGCTCCAACAGCTTTAACACAGAGGCTGGTTCCCTTAAATATAAGACCACAAAAAAATCACTAGAAAAGGTTTTTTCCACTTTCAAACAATAAATGTCATGGGAAATGATTCACAGTACACAGTTGAATGTTGGCATCCTATATGTCGTATCTCAAAAACCATTGATAGGTGAAAGAGAGGTGACAAAATTTCTTATTTTATAGTCACATTTTAACAATTGATTACCCTCTATCACATTATATTTTTTAAAAAATTCTTATCTTATATCTTCACTTCATCATTAAAAAAAATTTTAAACAATTTTCCTACATGCTCCACTTGGTTTTTCCCTTCAAGTAATCCATCTCTTCCTCAATTTCTTCTTTCCCCCACCAAACAGGTTTCCTTGCATTGTGGTTATCGGCAAGACTTATGTCACTGTAAGGATGGCACTGCTTCCTCAGGAAGTGAAAAAGAGGCAGACTGCAAAGCCAGGTTGGATCTTCTGATGATTTTTCAGAGCGTATTAGTTTCCTCAAAGCCTGCAGTACCTTTCTGTAAATATTGAAGTTCAAGCTTTATTTCAAGAAGAGTAAGAGCCCACTGGCCGGGTTACAGTTCTGGCCTGGGGGCCATAAAAGTTAGACGAGCTCACTTTTGATCTCAGTCTCAATTTTCCACTATATATTCCTTTGGTAAAAGTGAGACCGAGACCAAAAGTGAGCTCGTCTAACTTTTATGGCCCCCAGGCCTGATTGATCTCCTTTGGCATTTAGGTCTATATATTGAGAATTATATAAAATTCTGATTGCATTTGGACCCCATACTGTGGCTCAGTCCTTATGGGGATGCTTTACTATCAATATGACTATCATGGCCTTGCTTCCTTTTTCTTTTCTTCTTTTGAAACATATATGAAGTTAAAAAAATCTTTTATTTCCTTGCAGCTGTATACATGGACTTAGTAAAATTTCTCATACCCCATTTCAAGCCAAATATACTACTCCATATTTGTACTTTGAAAAACTTACTGTGAAATCACAAATATCCATGGGGTTTAATTTTCGTTGTTTTCGAGGCATGGAGAGACCCACAAATTCATGTCCACCACGAAATGTAAAATGTTACATAGCTACTCAACAATTCTTAAATCCCCACAAACGAAGAGTTTCTACTCAAACCACGAAATTTTACCCAACGAATATATTTAATTTTACAGTATCTTTAGAGGCCATGATTAGATAAATTAATACATGTATAAATTGGAAATTATACTCAACAGATGGACTATATGATATGAACAAACTCCAATCTGCAATACATATTGAATAGACTATTCATGCTCCTGCTGTTCATGAAAAGTCTTCTTTTTTTTTCCTAATCACTCCCATACTACATACTGATATGTTTCTACTACATTTCCTGCTATCTTTGTATTGCAATAGCATCCACTCAGTTATATTTTTGCTCTAATAAAAGGGTATTATTTAATCAATAAGCATGGAGCTATTAAATTTAAAGATACATACGTCTCCATGCCCTTGTAGGATTCCTGCAGGTGTTCATATGCCTTGCAAGATCTTGTAGCATTGTCACCATCCAGGATTAAAGACTTGAATAATACGTTCTTCTTGCTTTGATTTAATGAAATATTAAAATCCTCTACCAGCCATATGATTGCAACTGCTGCAATGATGTCTTTGTTTTGTGATAAGTCAGCAAACTTTGGTTGCAAAATATCAAAAATAGCCTATAATAAGAAAAAATATAAATGAATGACAATAAATAATGTGCCAAAACAGTTTGAATATCAATTTTCAAACACTTTTTTCCTTTTCTCAATATCAAACAGGTAGAATTTTAATAATGACCATGAAAAAAAAACAACACATTTCTGTCAACTAATTTCAAAATGCATAAATTTAATTATCATACTTTTCCTATAGATTGAATGAAATCATATTCATATCTCCAGATTTTCTTCATAGTTTTGTGATAAGTTTTCTTTAATCCCCGGTACAACATTTTTAGTGAACTCATCACATCCTCTGGCGAAAAATCTTCTCCATCTGACACAAAATGCTTCCATTTTGGAAAGAATATCTTGACTGTTAACCAGAGGTCACTCTCCAATTTCTTCTCATAATCATCAAATCCAACAAAAGCTTTGAATTTCTGGAGTAGTCCTCTGTCTGGGATTGGGTTCAAGACACCGTCATATTGATTCCAGACATCTGAAAGGAACAAAATCCCTGATCACAATATTCTTCTGCCTTGCAGACTTCTTGAGAAATGAACCTATTTGTTTTTTTCCCTTTTGGTTTAAATGTATCTTTTCTTTGGATCGAAAGATGGGATTTAATCATAAAGAAAAATTAAGATTAAATTTAGCATCCAAAGTATGTCTGGTAGTGTGCATCCTGTGAATATATTTTTCAAAGACATCAAAAAATTATTTTTTGAAACATCTTAATCTTAATTGTTGCATTGTTTATGTGTAAAGAAATGCATTTAATAAATCAATTAAAGACTTTCTTTATACCTATTTCTTATCATTAGTTGTCTTCAAACAATAACATTGTAAATTTTACCTGACAAGTCATCTCTGCTGGACAGCTCCCTTGTAAGTCCCTCTTCCCATTTGAAAGCATCATAGAAATATTCATCCACTGGACGAGTCAGGTCACCATTGACAATCACACAATAAGAGTACCTCAATCCTGCCCCCCGAAGCAACTGTTTTGAAATTACCATTTTTCTAGTTACAACAGTGTGCTGATCAGCATATCTGTAAATAAATGATTGAAATTAATTATGCATCCTTTGTCAATAGAAATTGATGCAACAATAATTAAATACTTTGATTTTTGCATGTTAATTTTTGTTCTGATACGTGATAGGGATTTTTTTCAGAGGTATCCTTGATATGTAGTGCAGATACATTGCACTGTATGTATCTCACAATGTTAAATTGCTGTACATGTATTTACCATTGTTTACTACATACTATATGATGAAGAGAAATATTAAATCGTATACTTCAAAATCTTACCGCACAAGTTCTGTTGGATAGAAACAATACCATCCTCTCAATTCTGCAGCACTGAATCTCATGCAGACTCGACTGTTGCTTCGGTTTATCAGAAATTTCGGGGATGCAATGGCATAAAAATTAATTTCTATCATTTCACTTCTTCCCCTTGTCATGATAACACTTCTATTAAATGAATGAAAGCAAATCAAGAATCCTTAATATGTTTATTAATATAAAGAACTACTGAGTTAAATCACCTAAATAACATGAGTTTCTCAGAAAACAAAAACTTAGACTCTCATGGGACTTTGAATTCATGTTTTGTAAGAATTTTCAATGTATTGAGGAATCACATACATATTGGACAGAGATCACTGTACATTGTAGAAGTAGGCTTTGTTAGTAGCAAATGAAAATATTTTTGAGATCTAAATAGTCTCTTTTTCTTCTGCATGTGACTTAATTAAATCCAAAAATTAATGATTTTTTAAAATTTTACTTCTATTTATACCATGGCTCTATTGACCGTTTTAGTGTAAGCTACAATTCTCAAGTCTTATCTTGAATACCGTTCTCGTTTTTAGGGAACTGATTAGTTTAATGAGTTCATTTAAATATATATTTTTTTGTAACTGTTTCACACTTACAACAAAATGTCATCTTTCATCTTTCTACCCAAATTATAAATGTAATACCTTTCTGGTGTTGTTGATGTGTGCATTTGATTTTTCCCTGCATCAACACTTGATCCCTCTGTATTCACCTATATCAAATTCAAAGTAATTTTGTAAATTACAGATTCAGGAAAACTTTTTGATTTAAAAATATATGTAGAGTGGCTAGTACAGCCCCTCAATGTAAACTTTTTTCAAGACCGAAACATTTTTGCCATTTTTATTAGCCAGCTCATTCAAATTTTTTAAAGATTTTTTCACTCTTGTGAATTTAGAACTGGTCTCGTGTGTACATTAAACATTGCTATATCATGTACATGTTAATCAAAAAGAAAATTTGTTATTTTACTTATCTTTTTTCCAGTTAAAATTTTCCACTTCTCAATTTGCATAAACAGCTAAACTTTATGCTATCAAACACCAGTATCTCAAATTCCAGGGATAATAAGTTTTACCCTTTTTGTCAAAAATATTCTTATATCTTGAAGTTAAATCTTGTTCCCATTGACTGGGATGAGGAGTTTTGACTGTAGCTATCTTATTTCAAATAAAAAGGATTCTTTTGTCTTAAACTAATACCTGAGTTTGTTGATTTCCTTTCTTTGCACCATTTTTATCCACATGCTCAACAGGAATTTCTGTTCGTCCTTGCCATTTACTTCCAGTTGCACTCTCCTGTGTGCTGCCCCCTCTAGTTGTTGAGGCTTGACCTGCAGGTGATGACCACTGACCTCCATAGGATATTGACCACTCTCCTCTAGATGATGAAGGTTGATTGTCAGTTGATGATCGTTGACCCCCTGTTGATGTCGTTGAAGTTGATGTTGTTGAAGTATTTTCTTGTCTGATTTGTCCATTATTCTCTTTAGCTTCCTCTGAACCCTTCTTTTCTTCCTTAGAAGTTTGTGTCTTCAGTTTCCTGTTTTCTTCTGTTTTATCTTTTTTATCTTGAGCCTTTTGTACACTAGCTGATACTTTTGGTTGGTTTTCTATTCCTTGAGAAGAAGCCATATCAGTTGCATTTGTTTTGTTGTCAGCTGGTTTTGAGGGCAGTTGCCCTTTCTTCTTTTGGTACTCTAATTTTTTCTTTTTTTTCTTTTTTCCTTGGTGTTTCTTCTTTTTGCTCTCACTCTTTTCTGCATTCTCTGCATTTCTTTCTCCCTCACTTTCATCATCATCTTCTTCATCATCTTCTTCTCCATTTTCATCAGCCTCCTCCTCGACTTTCTCTTCTTCCTCTGGGAATTGTGAATCATCAGCTTTATTCCCATTTTTATCCTCACTGACATCCCCCACTGATAAGTGCAACTTCTTGCTTTCATCTGGGAACTCTCTCTCTGGCGATTTTCGTTTTCTCACATCCAACAACTGAAAACGTTCAATCACACTTTGATCATCAGTTTCTTTATTTCCCTCCTTCTTTTTCCAGCTAGGCTCATAAACAGAGTTCTCTCTAGAAACTGAACCACTATCTTTCACCTCTTGTTCATTTTCTTGCTGGGTTTCCATGATTAGACCTTCCTGTCTTCCATCCCTCTTGCCTTCTAAATTTCCCTCTGCTTGGCCCCTTTTCCCATCTCCTTTTTCATTCGGTTTTTCCACTTTTTCAATTTCAGAATCTTCCTGCCCACCTCTGACTCTCTCCTCTTGACCTTCCTGGAAATTTTCAGCAGGAGGATTCATCTCCAATCCACTGGGAGGGTTTTCCACAATCTCCATGGAATCTAGCATACCTGGACTCTCGCCTACCCCTTCTTCTGACGTCAAAATTTTATCCCGTGAAGAAGACCCCGCTTCCTGTTTAACAGAACTCTGAGAAGAAGACTTTGAGTCATCGGTAAATTTTGGAAAACCATTGCAGAAATCTGAACTGTTTTCCAAATTGGTAGCTTTTTCATAGCTATCTGTTCTTCTTAACCCTTCCTTACTTTGAGTAAAATTCACAAATTCAAAGTCCATATCCTGGGCTGTTGGCTCTGTTTGATCGTTACTTGACTGTTGTCCTTCATGCCCCAGGGTCAGTTGTCTTTCATGTCCTTGGGTCAAAGTCTCTCCTTCAGCAGCCATTACCTCCTTCTTTACAACTGGAGGGACAAAAAAGTAAAAATTATTTCAACTCAAAGACAACCCTGAAAAGTAATTAAAGTCTTTAAAAATATAGTCAGCAAATGCCAATTTTTCTTTATAATTAATCATACTGAATCTTTATCATGTATATGAATTCGTTTCCCTGAATGGTCACAATTACGTTAACAGCAATATGGCTTTTTAGTATACAAAAGTTAATGATTATTTATAATTTAATAAATTCTCCTCTTACTTGCAGAAGCAGAGGCTCCAAAGCCTGGGGGTCTCCCACATTCTGAGCAAAACTTGACATTTGGAGTTACAATGTTATCACATGGTGCTCCATTTGGTTTCTTTCCCTGGCACATAACAGCTCTCGGCAGGAAAGCTCTAGGGTCGACTTTCCAGCCACATTCAATGCAGAACTTCTGTGAGTTTTCCACTGGTTTTCCACAAATGCCTGATGTTCTCTCACCATCCTGAATTGTATTAGGACATGGAGCAGTCTGTTTGTTTGCAGTCCCTTGGCATGTTACCTTTTTTCCACACTGTGGGCAAAAATTTGCCCCAGTACCTGTCAGTGTGAATCCACAAACACACTGCATGATTTTTTCTATCTCATGTACCTACTAGTAAGGAAAAAAATTCTTGTTTCAATATGCAATCTAGTTTAGTAATCATAGTAATGAATTTAAAATTTGTTAATTTATGCTCTAACTTACTAAGTCTGTTTGTTTGTCCTCATATGAATATGTGTGAAGTAGAATGTTAAAGCACAAGTCATTTTTTTCTTTTTCTTTTCTCTGATTTATCTTTTTTTTACAGCTTGGTTTTGTATTATTTATATTCTTTTCTTTTGTTCTAAATGCAAGTTGTTCAGATCTGATCAAAGACTAGTCTAAATGTAGTGAAACAGGAAGTGATAAAACGTGTAATGCATTAGACCAGGCCCCGGGATCATGAAGCATCTTAAGCTTAAGTCAAAAAATGCCTTAGATGCTGAATTTTTTTAGAGGTCAACCAGCCCAAAATGAAAATGCCTTCCGATTTCGTATCATCATTCTGCTGTTGTATGCAAATTATGAGTTTCCTTTAACAAATTTTAAAGATTTTAAAGATCATGATCCCGGGGCCAGGCCCCAATGAACTCCAGACTAGACAAGTGGTCTACTATCTGTATAAACCATTTTCCTCCCTATTTACAATGTTTTAATTTGTCTTTGAAGACAACAATCCCTGTTCTTCTTTGACAGAGCTTTTTTACCTGTCCATTGTCCTTTCTCATTCACAATATGTCATCAAATGTGGCACCAAATGCAGGGTAGATAAGCGATAGACCTGACAAAGGGATTTGAACCTGGGTTCCCTGGACTTACAAAACATATTGCTTCACCAAAAACATGGTCTTTGGTGAACAAACCTACCTGAGCATCATATTTGGAACAATGATTTATCATAGTACCTAACAATATTCATTAAATATTGACCAAAAAAAAATAATTACTAGTAAAAATATTGCAATGTAAACAAGCTCCAAGATCTGGACATTCACTATATGGATATCAATTTTTATTCAGTTCATTTACAGCTGCATAGGTGATGATAGGTCACAGTCGGAAGCAAATTGAAAGTGGGGTGGCTATAATTGAAAGTGGGGGGCTAAACCAACAAAAATAGGTAAATCCTAATTTCAATGCCTATATTATGTATATCTTTGAAAACAAAAAAGTTGGGAGACTTGAACCCCCCCCCCCCCAGCCCAGGTTCCTACCGGGTCCACCTATGAGCTGTGACAGTAAGGCATATTTGCTTGCTAGTGGCTATATTGCTCAAAAGGTATATTGGTGGAGCACTTTTCCTGGACTAGAGTTCACTTGTATCGGCCATCACATACATATAGAATAGAATATATTTTTTTTAGAATAGAATTTATAATATCTATTCCATTTTCGGCATAACGATGTAGGTGTAGATCTTAGCAATGCAATATTAAACTAAATGATAATTCAGATAAATGAAAAGAAAAAAAGTAAAATATATATGGACCGTTTTCATCATTCATTTATCATTATAGAAAAAGTACAACAGGCCCGGCAAAATATCAGATTGAGATAATCATGATAATTTTATTTAATATTTATAACAATATATACCTTGTGATGCTATCCAGTAGTCACATTACACACAATTAATTTCACCATAGGTAAAATCATTTAATGCTTCTTTCGTTTTAAGATTTACTTTCTTTTCCATTTTAGTTTCAAAAATTCATAATCTGATAACACACCTTGAAATTCCCAATAGTTTAAAAAGAAACTAACAATTCACAAATCGAAAGTAACATTGAGTAACACCTCTTTTTTTTTTTAAATTAATATTCCAGAATCACAAGGAAACGAACAATTTTCTTTATCAATCAATACATTAATCCGATTTTCAACCCTTCCTGGCCTTACTGACAGTAGACAAGTTTGCTTTTCACGTCATTAATATTCACTTCTACGTAGAAATATTGCATGTAAAAACTGCTGACGATGTGTCTTTCTTATGAGTTTGGTAGCATTTAAAATGATTCTTCAGCAAATACATTTATTAAATCTGAATTAGTTCTGTACTTACAAAAATACTTTACAACTTTCTTGCTGAATCATGCACTGACAAAGCCTAAAATTAATCTTTCCTTAGAATCCCACTTTCGTTTTTTGTTTCGGCATATCGCGGGAATCTTTGTCCTACTAGCAAACAAAACCCAAGACGACCAAACCTACTGTTTCCGATATACTCTTCCTCTCTCTCTCTCTCCCTCTCTCTCTCTCTCTCTCTCTCTCTCTCTCTGAGGAATAGCAGTCCATAATATTCTAGAATTCATTTTTTAAACTTGAATACCTTGAATAACTCATAAACTAACTAAAACTTCCATAAAAGACATATCTTCGCAGGTTAATTTTCATACAACATGTCTCAGAATACATCCCTCTAAAAAATCAACAGCCAAAGTTAAACATAAAGAAGTGTGATATCATTCTTTATTTAGCTATGCACCAAATCACATCAAATCTATATCAAATCTTGTGGAAACAAAAAGCATTCATTTGCCAGGAGAATATTTGAAATCTTTCCTGGAAAACATTAACAAATTGATGTTAAATCTGTCCACGTCTTTAACATGTTTAAGAATAACATCTCAAAATATCTTTATTTTTAATAATTCTCAAAATCTAAATTGTTTACCTGCCATTTTTTCTTTAAAATTAGTAAGAATTATATCTAAGGTTAACAAAAACACAAACTTTATTATAATTGACCCGAAAAATTTAACAAAACAGCCCATTGAACATGTATACCTCCATTTTTGGAATATCAGGTTTTTTAAATCATTTTTTTACAAAATTTAAAACGAAAGTAAAATTTGAAAGGATGATGTAGGCCTAAAATCTATAAAAACAGATCTCAAGTAAGTTTGTTTTTTAAAAAAATAAGAAGGGTTTATGTTCATAAAGGCAATTAAGAATTTTGTGTCTGTATGTGCTAAAAGCATGCATATAAATCCTATGTGTAAAGTGTTAATTTCCATAAATAGTACATGTATATATTACATGCTTTGTATTCAAATTTACACTACAATTAATAAATATATGCTTTTCAAATTATTTTCAAGCAACCAAAATATTTTATTTAAAAAAAAGTGATAATCAGAATTATATATTGGTGTATAAAATTAAAACTGGATCCGTAAAAGTATGTACCTTCCTTAATTCAGTAAGAGGAGCGAGGAGGGGTGCACATATAGTCCGAAAAATCTTACCTTTTCCTGGCTTTTTTACGATTTTTATATTTTACATGCCAGGTAAAAAAAACCCAGGAAAACGTCAAATTTTTCGTACTAGGGTGCAGAGTCCTCGCCTCCATTTTGACTAAAAAAAACTAAGATTTAAAATCAATATTTTGGGTGTGGACCCCTACTCCGACTCCAAACTGGTCGGAGCCCCCACCCCCTCCTTTTTTTCAATATTTCTTGCCGGATTCGCCACTGTTACCTGAAGAGGAACAATCTCTTAAAGTTGACAAAATTTTGGAAATGGTTTTAGACATATAATCCAGATGCGATACACGGGGAGGAATTTAAGCCAAGGGGATTAAATGAGGTGAATCATACGTCAGGTGTCTGCAAATCAGAGATATGTTGTCTGACTTAGTATATAATTGTTGTTTTTTTCCTGTAAAAAATTCTCTTTTGCGTGGTTTTGGTGAAATTTTGTTCATCGCAAATAGCATTGGTGGATCCAGGATTTTTTATTGGGAGTGGGGAGTTTGGGTTCTTATATCAGACTGAAATTTTTGGACAAGAAAAAACTCCCCTCTCTCTCTCTCTCTCTCTCTCTCTCTCTCTGAAAACACTATAGTTTATGATCAAGATTTATTTAAAATTAATAAATATCTTTACAAACATATACAGCACATAAAACTATAATTTTTACACTGCATGTCTAAAAATATTGGCCTGGCATTTTTTAATCAATGACATACACTGTATTAAACATAAATTCTTTACGGGTTTCGATTTACGGCGGGTTGTCCACTTATGATTTTTAGCATGAATGATAAACATTTTATCTAGTTATTGTACATTTTCCGCATTCTGCACAGAATTTGTTACTCGAGGTTACAATGTTGATGCACAGTTCTTCATTTTCCGAGATGCCGTCGCACATCTTGGACCCCGCCATGAAAACTTTAGGATCCACCAACCAGCTGCACCTATTGCACTTCTGCTGTGTGTCTGAAATCTCAGCACCACACGATTTCGTGGACCTCTTCCCATCGAAGACAGTATTGGGACACAGGGCTGTGGGGGTCGATATGACCCCCTTCTGCCTTTTCTGACCGCATTCTGGACAGAATTTCACCCCATCTCCGAGTTGCAGACCACACCCACATTTCATGACTCTGTAATTAAAATTATTGAAATACTTCTAGACAATATAAAATTTGAGAAAATAAGTACTCTTAGTTTTACTTTTCTCAATTTAAAATTGGTTACATTTATGTGAGTCAAATACTATTCCAGGGATTTGAGAGAATATCCAAAATGAAGGGGGGGGTCGGATTGATTTAAGAGAAGATTGCGTTATTTAAATAAAATTAACGAGCAAGTGTGAAAAAAAAAATTAAAATGCATATTTCAAATTCTGTATTACCTCAAAACTTAGTCTGTATTCTTGCACAAGAACTTTTCAATAGCTCAAAGTTCGTTTTTCTATAAGTAAATGAAAATGAAACTACAAGGTCCCCATTTTCCATATACTCTTAAAATTGCTGCTCGATCAAAAAACTTAATACTATAATGATAAATTTGAACATACTTCATGCATGTATGTGCATTTTTTTATGCAATGTCAAAAGAATATATATGAATTCATTGATTAAATATAGATATTGAAAAGCTCCTATATAAATAATTTATCCGCATACTAGGCTATAGCTGGAAGAGAAAACGTGAAAGATAAAATTAAATGTTGGGCGCATGAACTGCAAATTAAAGACTGTGTAAACGTACTTACAAATCAATGAACTTTACAAATCGAGTAGTTAATTCACACACACAGAATATATTTTCAGAAATCTATATATGCAATGATATGTGCAAGGGAGATTTAAATGCACTTCCGTCTTCGTCTTTCACTGCAATCTATTTTTATCTCGTTTTTAGAAAACCACTCGGAAAATTGGGTAATTTTATTTCACGGTAGTCAGGTACGCTAAGAAATGTCAAATCTGTAAAATGGCGAGAAAGGGCTCGGACGCAGATATTGATGAAATGGAAGTGGACAATGAAGACGAATTATTATTATTATATTCCCGTAATTCGCCAGGATCTTCTTCTTCAGAGACAGAGAATACTTCTGTCAAAAGGAAGACAGATGAAGATGCTGATGAAGTGGACGATGACTCGTTAGGAAAGGAATCATTGAATTTGGATAAGTTAGTGTTGTCTGACGAGGAAGAAACGGAAGAGAAACAGGGTATGTTTATATCATTATCCTATATATCTCTTATATATATCATTTATTGTTTACTTACGGGTGTGTATCCATAGATAGACTTGAATCTTGAGTTATCATTTTTTGTTTATCAATGAAGATTGTACATCGATTTAATTTCTCACTTGGCGTATGACTATATGATATCTATTATTTACGTTCCACCTCCTTGTTTTACGAAAATATCGAAATACTAGACAAAGAACCGGGTTTGGGGGGGGGGGGGGAGGTCTCAACTTTTGTTGTACATGGGGCGTGTCAGAACTTGAAATCCCCCCCTCCCTTTCCCTTCTCGCCGAACTAGGGATCAAGGTTGAACCCCCTTTGTTTTTTGAATGTTTCAATAACAACAACAAGAAACATTGTTTTATTTAAATGGGAATACAGAAGTTTAATTAACTAACTAAATGTACATGTAGTAAATATCTCATGGGAGGGGAAAGGGGACTACCTTTGAGAAACGCATTCGTGACTTGCACATATTTTTAAAAGACGTACATAATTATGTACTATGAACAGAACTGAATAGCAAGCAGTGAAAATATATAAGCTTAAATTCACAACTTCCTCATTTTATTTTTAAAAATGTGTTCCATTTGAAACTAGTGCTAATTGTAACGGGGACCGTTACAGATGTTCCCCAAACGCTCCCCAACTCCCTTTTGGTGCCATATTCCCTGTAAGCTTCATTAAATAGGACAAAATCTATGCATTTTTTACTTTAACAACGCCAAGTTCATTCAAATTTTAGCATTGCACGCGTGCGCATGTGAATGCATGTGCGTAATGACCATATCATCTTGTCTACACAATCTATATATTTTGATATACTAAATACATGTATTAAAGTATTTAATCCAAAAGTATAAAAAAAACACTCATCAAAGTGTATTTTTTATTTTACCCATTTCACGTGCACGCACGTGCATACATGAGCATGGTGACCATACCTTCTTGTAGATGTCTGTTACATATATCTATGTTCTAAATCCCACCCCGTTTGGTTGAAAACCAAGGGAGTTACAGCTGTTTAAAGTTTCAGCCAATCAGATTGCAGCGCACGTACATGCACGTGTATGCATGTGCATGGTGACCACATTTTCTTGTAGTAGACCAGTAATTCTATCTATGTTCCAAATCTCATCCTGTTTGGTTAAAAATCAAAGGAGTTATAGCTATTTAAAGTTTCAGCCAATCAGATTGCAGCGCACGTGCATGCACGTGTTTTCATGATAATTGCTATATATCATGTTGTAGGATATTCTAATGCATGGCTATTTTCAAAATTTCAAAGGATTTCGTCAAAAAACAAGAAAGATATTGAGACTTTAGTTTCAGCCAATCAGAGCAAAGCACACGTGCATGCGCGTGAGATCTTGCTATTTTGACCATGTCATATTGTCTATGCTACTAATATTTTCTTATGTTATAAGTTTCAAAGCATTTCATCAAAAATTTAAAAAGTTACGCCTATATCAATGAAATCAGTCATTTCACATGTTGCACGTGCACGCTCTTGCAAGCACGTGCGCGCAAAATGACCTTCGTTCCGCAAATCTACATAACATGTCTACTGACCCTAAAAACATTTCACCTTAGTCAGGTGTATAGTTTACGAGATCATTCCCGGACAAAAAAGTACCCAGGAAGAAGAAGAAGAAGAAGAAGAAGAAGAAGAAGAAGAAAAATAATAATAACTAGATACGACCTCGTTGCGAGCAACGAGATGTCTTCCGTCCGTTTTAGGAAAAGAAACCCACGTAAAATCGAGCTGAAAAGAGATTCAAAATTTTGGTCACAAGGAGGATTGAAACCATGTCGCCAACGTGAATGCGCTTTTTTTTTTTTACTTTTATATCCCCAACGCGCTAACCATTAAGCTATTGGGAGTACTGCTCTAAATATACTTGTGTATACCATGGTACTTTTGCAACAGTTCACCTCTCTAAGAATTATAAAAAGCATTCATAATTTCGCGCCAAACGCCACGAGTAAATATTTGCGCCTTTTCTTTGGACTGATCTATTAGATAGGTATGATAGCATCAATTAAATTTTAAAAATAAAACATTCTTAGCGCCTTTATTTTATTTTGACGTTAAGAAAGTATATGTAACACATTATACACATTACATATCGTATCTAGCCCAGTTACACTAAAGCAGTGAAACGGAAATTAAGTTTTAAGATTGACACTCAATTGCAACGTACTACTGTAACGTGTCGGATCTGAGCGGTCAGTAGGTCCGTGCTCGGATTACCGAGTTTTACTGGGGATATGATTGAATGTAATATATACAGATAATGATAAGACACCTGCCTGGTGTCTTTAAATCAAATGACCTAAGTGCTTTGTATGATTATATATCTTCAGTTAATACCGGTACTGCCTGGTGCCATATGATAATTGCCTCACTATACTCGTATAACTGACTATATAAGTCAACATCATTCTATCTGCCTGGTGCCTCTTGATTTAGCCTTTAACATCTGCCTGGTGTATAACTGCTTACCAAGTTGCCTATATAACTATAGCCAAGTGGCTACAATATACTTACACAGTATGATATAACTTTGTAAGAGCTTCTCTGTCCTAATGACAAACCTATAGCTAATGTCACACAGCTACATTTTAACTAGTCACTGACTACGACAACTTTGCACGATCCTATTTGATGGATAAACCAATTGGTTTCTGTACCAAAGTGAAAACACAAGCCAGTTGGCTGTACTGCCCCCTTGTACCTCAACTTAATCAATGATCATAAGTTATCAGATATCATATTGATAAAATAAAACAGACTGTCTTTCTTTTGGCAACACTATTATTATTTTCTAACAGAACATCATTTATCAATAATACTTGTATAATTCTTTAGTCAATTGACCAATTAATTACAATATTTACATTGATTATCTATTATAATATAAACAAGTATCGGGAGGTAACTCCTCCAACCATTTCACTACTACGTGAGAGTCGAAGTAGTTTTTTACATTTCATGTATCCTTATGTCAGAATGGTTTAATCAAACGCTCAGCTGCCTCCATAAACCCCTACTCGCGAAATGGCGGAGTTGACAGAGACAGCCGCCATTTTGGACCCGCTTCAGATTTTTGAATGCAAATATCTAGACTTTAGATTTATCAACATTCAAACAAATTAAATAGTAAGCATTATAAGGAGGGCTTCTATTACCATACCAAATAAAAATGAAAAATACTGAAAAACAAAAAAGTTAGAAAATACGATTTTTTTAAATTTGCATCTCGTAACGACCGGAAGTACTGACGACGCACGAAAAGGCGATTCTGCAATCCACAAAGTCATGATCTATCATCTCCAATAAGTCTCCAGTTCATATCCTTAGCCATTTTCGATAAAAGTGCGCGACAAAATCGCATTTTAAAATCCGAAAATTGTCCATAACTTGGCACCGGAAGCGACATTTCCAAACAAAATTATAGACTGCACAACTTCATATAATGACGCATTTTTTGTGAAAGTTTCGTTGAAAACCGCTGAATAGTTTTCGAGAAATCCCGTCCACAAAATTTTGTCAAAAAAGAATAATAACTAGATACGATCTCGTTGCGAGCAACGAGTGGGTCTTCCGTTCGATTCTTGATGAGATGAGATTAGATTTTGATTGAGATTTTCATTCTAAAATAATGATTTTTCATAATCTGTAAAAAGACATTGAACAATAAAGACTTCTAAAATCGACTTTTGGCCACTCACGGCCCCTAAAATTAAGGATCAGCCCTTTTTTCTTCATATCATTTTAAAGCTCTCAGGATTATGAACACTTTTTGTCCAACAACTATTCAGAGATTCTTTTCGTTTTCGAGTTGTTTGCAAAAAAAAATATTAAGGGACCAGCCCTTCCTCTCCCTAATGGGGACGTTTAGCGAAAAATGAAAGGCTGCATATTGTTCAGAACATGATTTTGAACATCTTTTGCTCAATATTACTTATCAAAATATTTCTCACTTTCGAGATATAAAGCGTCAAAGATTTAGCATTCTGGCCCCTTGCGGTCCCTAATTACGTACCATACGACATAAAAATCATGATATATAGTTGTAGATGGTAGAGATAAACATTTTTGATTCAGTAATGTATAACAAAATATTGACTGTTAAAGAGTTATCGAAAAAAGAATTTAAGCCCCTTTTGGCCCCTAATTTGATCGCCCAGCCCCTTTTTCTAGATTTCATCTTAGAGCTCTTAGGATTTTGAACACTTTTTGTTCAACAACTATTCAGAGATTCTTTTTCGTTTTCGAGTTATTCACAAAAGAAATATTTAGGGGCCAACCCTTTAACTCCCTAATAGGGACGTTTAGCGAAAAATGAAAGGTTGCATATTGTCCAGAACATGATTTTGAACATCTTTTGTTTAATATTACTTGTCAAAATATTTCTCACTTTCGAGATATAAAGCGTCAAAGATTAAGCATTCTGGCCCCTTGTAGCCCCTAATTATGTAATATACGACATTTAAGTCATAATGTACAGTTGTAGATTGTTGAGTAAACATTTTTGCTTCAATAATGTATAACAAAATATTGACTGTAAAAGAGTTATCGAAAAAAGACTTTAAGCCCCTTTTGGCCCCTAAATTGATCGCCCAGCCCCTTTTTCTAGATTTCATCTTGGAGCTTTTAGGATTTTGAACACTTTTTGTTCAACAACTATTCAGAGATTCTTTTTCGTTTTCGAGTTATTCGCAAAAGAAATATTTAGGGGCCAACCCTTCAACTCCCTAATAGGGACGTTTAGCGAAAAATGAAAGGTTGCATATTGTCCAGAACATGATTTTGAACATCTTTTGTTCAATATTACTTGTCAAAATATTTCTCACTTTCGAGATATAAAGCGTCAAAGATTAAGCATTCTGGCCCTTTGTGGCCCCTAATTATGTAATGTACGACATTAAAATCATAATATACAGTTGTAGATTGTTGAGTTAAACATTTTTGCTTCAATAATGTATAACAAAATATTGACTGTAAAAGAGTTATTAAAAAAAGACTTTAAGCCCCTTTTGGTCCCTAAATTGATCTCCCAGCCCCTTTTTCTAGATTTCATCTTGGAGCTCTTAGGATTTTGAACACTTTTTGTTCAACAACTATTCAGAGATTCTTTTTCGATTTCGAGTTATTCGCAAAAGAAATATTTAGGGGCCAACCCTTCAACTCCCTAATAGGGACGTTTAGCGAAAAATGAAAGGTTGCATATTGTCCAGAACATGATTTTGAACATCTTTTGCTCAATATTACTTGTCAAAATATTTCTCACTTTCGAGATATAAAGCGTCAAAGATTTAGCATTCTGGCCCCTTGTGGCCCCTAATTATATAATATACGACATTAAAATCATAATAAACAGTTGTAGATTGTTGAGATAAACATTTTTGATACAGTAATGTGTAACAAAATATTGACTGTTAAAGAGTTATCTAAAAAAGACTTTTAGCCCCTTTTGGCCCCTAATGTGATGAGTCAGCACTTTTTTCTTGATATCATATTAAAGATCTTCTCATTCTGCACAAATTTTGTTCAGTATATTTTAACAAGTTAATGATACTTTTAAAGATATGATACAAAATGTCTCAAAAATTCACTCATGAATCGTGTCCTAGATTTCGACCCCTACCGAGCTTCCATACTGGACTTTTTTAAAAAATTTTAAATTCAATGTGCAATTCAGCAATGTGTCGTCTATTATCGCTGAAAATTTCAGCTCTCTAGCTAATGTCATTTTTGAGTTAACTTAAGGACAAGGAGACCCTCTAAAAATCACTAAAAGGGCGATAACTCACGACCGGAAGTGATTTTTTCAAAATTGAATCGGGGGTACAAACTTCAGATAGACATACACAAACTCTGAAAATTTGAACAAAATCCATCAAGCCATCTCCGAGAAATCTTCTGCACAAAAATTGTAAGAAAAAAAGAAGAATAACTAGAAAGTCTGCTATTGCAAGCAATAGCATATGTCGCCCCGTATTAGACAAGACTTTCATTTTTATCATCACTAAAACAAAAGTCCATAAGCTAAGTTTGAACAACCATTGAGTTATATCAGTCCTTTCCATTGGAAACGGAAGACCTTAATTCGGTACATCCCACTCATTATTTTTAGAATCGGTAGGAGAAGAAAGTAGTGCAGGAAAATTACAAGTTCCTCAATTTGCAGACTTGCATAAAAGAAATCTGGCAGATGTACTGAACTGAGCCTCATACTTGTTAATTGGCAGTATCTTTCCTATGATAAAAGCTTGGGAAATGTAATTTATGAAGAAGATCAGCCGAATTATTTTGTGTATTGTAACGCCAGTGAGAACTCTGAAATTTCCCTCTTTCACTTTCATTTTAGAGGTTCTACCGAAAAACGAATCTGACATGCCACCATCAATTCGAGCATTTCTGCATTGCAGAGAGCTGATGTGTGTTATGAGATAATAAATCATGTGTGAACTTTCTCAGTTTAGCGGAATCATGAACATTTTCGGCGAGATGAATGTTTTGTATACAGTGGTGATCAAGGCTTTGCGAACCATCAGGAGCGGATCAAAGAATTTATGAATGAATAAAAACTATGGAAATGACGTACCAATTTTTTAATTTATACTTGCACTATCTAATGAAATGAATAATATACAAGTGATAGATATACAAGAAAACGCGAAATGATAATAAATGCAGCTGACAATCGTAATTTTTTTTATATAGATAAAATAAAATATTTATAAATTCAAGAGACAAAACAGAAGGAGAATGAATGATGGCAAAATATCACATGACGGGAACTGAATTTTATGAATGAAGATTTTAAAAAGTTACTTGTAAGTTGTATATGTTATATCTGTGTATTCTACTTGGCTGTGTGCTTCATAAAAAGAGGGGGGGGGGGGGGCGTCTTGAACATAGTAAATAGCCATAACGTTTGAACGGTAAGTACTAGGGCTTTCGTATTTCAAATATGTAATCCTTGTGAAAAGAACTTTTATTGGATACGACGAACTTTGACCCTTTGACCTAGACCTTGGAGAACACATGTGTACATCTGAATCTTTTTTTCTGTTTCGTTTCTATGGCAACCGTGAGCGACTCATTACAATTATTTTGAAAGTAGAAATCACTTTGACAAATTGCAAGGAATAAACATTGAAAGTTTCAAAACGATTGCCTGAGTAGTTATTGAGAAAATCGAAATTAAAGAATTTTAACTTTCACCTGGTTTCCATGGCAATAATCGATTATATGAAAATTTTAAATACGAGTTGCAGAACTACAGATACTAATCATTAAAATAAGAAAAGTTTCATGACGAACGTTTAAGGGACCAGAGAGAACACTCTCGGACAAAATTTGTCGCTTTTTACAGGTTTCCATGGCAACGGTAGACATATTGGAACTGAACGACCTCACTGCACAACTACAACCAGTGATCGTCCTTGAAGGAAAGTTTCAGGAAGATTGTCCCAGCCATCTCCGAGAAACAGCCTGGATAAAAAAAAACATGCGTACAATATCAATATGTCGTCCCCGACTTCGTTCGGGGCGACATAATAAAAGTGAAAAAGAAACAATAGAATAATAGAAGGGTCTTCCGTTGGAGACGGAAGACCCTAATAAGAAACCGAGTAAAAACAATATGTTCCCCAACTTCGTTTGGGGAACATAATAACACAGACAAATGAATTTCTTGCTTATGCTTTAAGCCCCCTGACTGTTAGTAGTTTAAACGCTCAAGCATTAATCAATATGCCCGAAGTCACACGCAATTTATAGCCATATAAATATGTGCAACAAAACTCAAGCGAGTTGATTTTAAAAAAAATCTAGCCTATAGCTCTTATATACTTTTTTTCTACATTTAAGATCGTACAAAAAGTATTGAAATATGTAGACAATTCTGAAAGAATGAAAAGTTATCGGTCCATCGTCTTAAATCGAATCGGATACACTCCTATTTATTTTACGCAATAAGAACAAAACGTTGACAAAATCAGCAAGAATTATACATATTTTTCAATTAAACCAATTCTAATCTACACTTATCACTATATTTGTGTGTATTATAATTTTGATCTACGTATGGATCACCATTTTTTTTTCCTTTTGCTTGATGTGTTGCAATAAATTTCACCCTTGTCTATACAATTGTTTTTTTTTCCAGAAAGCCCAACACCCCGGGGCATAAATCTTCGCCCTTATCAAGAGGAGCTAGCAGAAACAGCTAAACAGGGAAAGAATACTATTATCTGCTCTGGAACAGGCACTGGCAAAACACGTGTAGCGTTTGCTATCATCAAAGACCATCTAGAGAAACACCCTGAAGGTAAAAAATTCAGCTAATAAGTGAATACATTGTATAAGTTACAGTATAACGGTTCCTCTGAACATAGCCCCCCCCCCCTCCCCATATTGAAAGACTAGATAACTTAATTAAATCAATATTTAGCATATTATAGAAAGTCAGATTACATAATTGGATTAGACATCACAGAGAGCATATGATGTGTAGCAGAAAGGGGTGCATGCACATGGATGTTTTCCCTCCCGTTTTGGATTAAAAAAAATTACGCGCATGAAAAAGTCTGCTTTGAGCCGGGAGTATGGTTTGCTGCCACGAGTCTTGACAAATAATTACTGCTAAAAAATGAATACCAAATAAATACTAAATAAATCTAGATGGTTTTTCTGACAACAGATATATATACTCACTAACCACAACCTGTAAATCATACACCTGGCAAACGTATAATCTGTTTATAGGGAAAGTAGTCATAATGGCTCCGACTGTACCCCTCGTGAATCAACATTATCTGGCTCTGAGAGAATTGTTGCCCCACCTAGAGGTAAGTCATTTCAATAGAATTAATGAGCTCTGATAAATGACTGTTAAAACTGCATGTTGTAATTTCTTCCGGTTTTTGGCCTTTTTTTTTCTACCTGAATCAGCTGTATAAGCCATTGCATATTTTAAAATAGCGATGTTAATTTTATTCGGCATTAACTTTAATACCATTATTTTCCTGAAATAATTACAATATTTTTTATTTAATCAAAACATTAATTTAATTCTAATGGCAGTAAAAATGATTTTCATATTCATAAAAGGGAAGTAAATCTAAGTTTTTTTTTCTTTCCTTACTTAAATTTTTTCTCACCAATGTTACGATGTTTGAGATTTTACATGTAATTATATTATTTTTAATTGCTTATCAAATCATTTCTAAATGAAAATTTCCAGGAAAAGACACAGAAAGTAACAGGTGAAAGCGAAAAGAGCGAGCAGCTCCACATGTTTGTGGACGATTTTCAGGTATTTGTGTTAACACCCGCCGTCTTAGAAAACACCATCTGTCCGGAGAAAGATGAAGCCATTTTGTCAAAATTCACTTTGATGATATTTGACGAATGTCACCATGCGTACAAAGGCTACAGTTACAATAAAATCATGCTACACTATCACATGGGAAAAAGCAGAGGTTCTCAGAAACTTCCACAGGTATTAATATAAATCTATTCATAATGAAGTATACCAGTAAATGTAATATACAGTACAATTTTAATTATTAATTACAATTTTAATTTTAACAAAAATTAAACCATCCTCCAGAACTCTGCGATTGGCAACACTAGATCTGCTCTATTAGAATGTGTGGGATTGTTGTGAGGGGGGTGGGGTGTGTAACAACAGTTGGGCAAGGCTTGCCAAATGTTGCCCTATATGAGATTGAACCCATGCAGTAGAACTAATCTAGTTGAACTTTGTGCATGAATAATATCAACAATGGCTTAATGTTTCTTTTTAATCGCCAACTGACAGAAAATGACAAAGCATGCATATATAATGATGATATGGCCAAAATTAATAATTTTTTGCGGGTGGTTTTTCCCTGCTTTGTTAGAAAATATGAAACAGATAAATCATGCAACTAAAGCTTCTATTAAAAAATATATATATTTCCCTAGATTGTGGGATTGACTGCAACATTGGGCACAAACAAGGCAAACTCTGTTGAAAGTGCAAGAAAGCACATCGTACAAGTCATGGCTAATTTGGACGTGTGTCATTTGTCTACAATCGTCAAAAATAAAAACGACCCATTTCTGCGTAGAGAGGGTGTTCAAACAGGTAAGATATATACAAAAAGTGTAAATATCTTTTTAAATAAAGATCTTTTAAATAATTTTTCAAATATTTTGAAGGATTCCTACTTTTTCAAAGAAACGCTTTCTGTTGTCAATTTTGTGTAGAAAAAGTTTGGAATTCCATTATAGTTTAGTTTAAGAAGTATTTTATTCATAATATACAAAGAGTACAATATGAATATGGATTGAACAGCAGGCCAAGGGCCTATATTAGTTCTCTCCATTTCCATTATGAAGCTCCCAACACATTTTATTGAGAAAAGTTTCATGTTTGCGGTTAATTTTATATGGAAATTGGCATTAAAAGGCTATTTATGTAAACCCCCCCCCCTTTTCTGATGTAGAAAATTGGACCCCCTCCTTTTTACTGTAAAAAGATGATTATGGTCTGACCAGTTTTCATTTATTCAGAAAAAAATAGCAAAAAAGTGTTTCTATCACTTCATTCATATGAAGTTAAAGATACATGTACCAATTAAGTGCACATTAGGTATTTCAATTAATATTTTCTTGAAAAATTTCATTTTAGAAAAAGTCCAGTTAAAACAAGATCTCGCAGCCGATCCAATACACAAAAGAGTTGAGAAAACTATGGAACAAGTGGAGAGGGTCTTGGTAAAAGAAACTGGTAAATTTTTTTTTTACAAAATCTTGCATAATTGTTTGTTGTAAATGCGAACAAAATTCTTGACGAAATTGATGAATAAGTACATGAAGTAATAATGCAAAAAAAATTTAAATACTCAAATTTCGTTTTTTTTTTTTTAAATGATTAATGAGTATTTTTGATTCTTACATTTAATTAAGGTAGTCAGATCATCAGGTTCTGAACATCTGGCATTGAGTAATTGAAAATACATGCAATGTACTCGAATTTAGTTTTTCTCTGAATTCACTGAAGCTGTACTTTTGTTTCTTCCAATTACCTTGAAAATCAGTTATAAGTTCTCAACAAACTGAAGATTTAAATAATAAATAAATTTATTAAAAGACAAACTAGATGTGGAAAATGAAGATGAAAAGGAGATTTTAAAAACAATGCTAAGGCGGCCTGACCCTAAAAGGAAAGGGGAAGTAAGCACTAGGAACTCTCCATCCTATGTACAATGGTGCTGCCATCTGCAGGAAAAATCTGCACCAATACTGAAAAGAAAACAAACAACTTCTCAAACTCTGCGGCTTGGTGGGGAATACTTGAAGGTACCTGTACATCTGAATTTAGATAAGTTGATTTTCAATTTATCCAAATCATAATATGTGGAATACCATTAACTGTCAAGGTGATCTGTAAATCTTAAGAACTTTTTTAAAATGTTAATTTTACCTTAAATATCTCCAAGTTTTGGATATCTTAATTTCTTAAACTTTTTTTCACAGGCCCATCTAGTTCAGCTATATCTCGTGCCTATGATTTCTAGTTAAAAGTTTGCAATGCAATTTATTTTTATTAATTTTGTATTTTTGTTTGAATTAAGATTTATAGTGAGCTATTGGATGTCAATGATTGTTTGACTGGAGAAATTGCCATAGAGTTTCTGGAAAAACAGATGGAAAAGAGACAAACCCAAAAAGCCATAACAGATCCCATAGAGGGAAAATTCGCAAAATTAATGACTGGTAAGATTGATTGATTGTATGTTGTTTAACATCCCTCTCAAGAATTTTCGACTCATATGGAAATGCCACCATTTGCTGGTGGAGAGCTGGTAAGATTGAAAAAAAGGCAAACAGATGTTCAGGGTTATTTCCATTAAAAACCAAAACTTTTAAATGTGAATAACATTTTAATATCACATATTAAAAAGATCAGCAGTGGATTTCTAAGTGAAGACGTACAGTTGAAATTTTTGTACCATGGTCATTGATATCAAATATCATCTTTAAATATATGATGGTTTTGAAGTGACTGAGTCGAAATTAATAAGCCCCAGCCACTTCTTTCTAAACTAACGCACTGTACTGTCTCGACCTTAATATCTTGATTCCTGAGAGGAGTTTGAATGAATAAGATTTGGCTATAATTCTTTAGGGTTACACAAAGAACTGAGAAACACAATAGCCAAAAACAATTCAAAGACAGAGAAGAATGTAGAAGTTCTGCTACAAACTATGGCAGACTTTGTGAAGACAGAAGTTGCAGGTGGAGAACCCACACGATTCATTATATTTGTCAAAACTATAGAAGTGGCTAACAGACTAAGTGACCTACTGAAGAAAGACAATAAGGCTTACAAGTGTGCTAGCTTTACTGGGACAAGAGGTATGCATAATATTTTGCCATTCTTATTCCAATGCAATTCATGTTCCTTTTAACTGTGTCATGTAATTAAAGTACATTCAAACTGTAAGCGTTAAAAAAATTAACAGAGAAATATGCATACATATTTAACACAGAACACATCAGAGTGGATTTCAAATGCAGTTGATAAAGAAATATTTTGCTAAATTTTGGGACAATTATTTTTTATATGCGTTAAAACTTCCTTGAATTTCAAAATGAGTTTTGCAATTCTGTTTCTGCATATTGATATCTGTTATCATTAGAATATAATATATGGAATTACAGTCAAGCTGACTATTTTTCTTTTTCTAACTTTGAAGCATTGTTTCATACTAATTTCTTGTACTAATTTACTAACGTACTAATATAATGTACTAGTTTATCCTGTTTTCAGACACCAGTCAGACAGACCAACTTATCATCCTGGATAAATTCAAACGAGGTGAACTCCAGGGAATAGTGGCTACCACAGTAGCGGAGGAGGGGATAGATGTTCCGGAGTGTAACCTGGTCATCAACTATAATTACGTCGGCAATGAAATATCCTCCAAACAATCGATGGGTAAATTACTTTTCATTTTCCAGAGGCCTGTTCATCAGAGCGAGTTTGAATTTAGTGTGTAGTGAAAAAAAAAAATTAAAAATTAATGAAAATTTGATCATGGAGTTATTATTGCTATGGCAATGATGAGAGACAATCATTTCTGCACACAAGTTTCTCTTTTCAGCAAATTTTAATATTCATTTATGCAGTAAAACACATTTTAGTACGAACATGGATATTGTGATATCATGAATTAGCGAAGTTATCTTGGATCCCCAGATAATTAAATTTAACAAATTCCTTGAACAGATACATGTATAACCCTTTACAGATATAGCAAAGTAATTTTATAGGTCCCAGTGACTTCATTATAACCGAGTCTTACTGTACTGGGTAATCATATTTCTGAAATAAACATTATCATACAACCCCTGCCCCCTCACATTTTTTCTATATGGGGTTGCAATTTAAGCCATATGTCACAAAACCGTCATTTAAAATTTGTTATTGTCCGAGGTGAAATGTTTCTCTGGGATAGACCTTTTGGGTATATAATGAATAATAAAAGTACAATTTTATTGCCACAGGTCGAATAAGAAAAGCTACTGGAAAAAGAATCATTCTGGCTAAATTTAAAGATATTTTTCGAGAAGGAATAAACAGTAAAAGGATTGAATACATGGAGAACGCAGTTCAGAGAATAAAATCAGAAAATATCAAGAAAGAAATAGAAGAGATTCAAGAAGAAATGATAGCAGAGGAAGAGCTAAAAAAATTAACATCTTCTGAAAAAGAAAAATCTAAATCTAATGATGCACCTTCTTATCGACTCATTTGCAAATGTGGAAATTTTGAAATAGATTGCGATGTCATCAGATGCATAGAGCAAAACAATTACGCTGCACTTGATGTTTCACTTTGGGACCGAATTAAAGAGAAACCATTGACAAAGAAGCCTTTCAATAAAGGAGACACAGTTATGCAGTCACAGTGGTTTCATGAAGGTTGTAATCAAATTTTAGGAACAGTCTTTATGTACAAGAAAGTTCGCTTACCCTATCTTTCCCAAAAGGCTTTCAATTTCTACAGAGTAAGCAATGATAGTCCAAATGATCATCGACCTCAAGGTGTTGGCAAGTGGAAAGATTTACCATTTTGTGTACCAGACCTAAAAACACCAGAATTGCTGAAGTACCAAAAGGACTTAATTGCTAAAGGAAAGATGTAAAATTTCTAAGACCTCAAACCTGACATGTTTGAAAAGTGAAAGTGCTATATGTACTGGTACACTATTTCAATATTCTATTTTGTGTAGATTTGTTAAAAAATAGTTTTGTTCTTTAAACTTACAATTACAATAGGTGTTGTAGCTTATTAACTGTTATGTTAACTAGCCCCCTATGTACCTTGAAAATCTCCACATCATTTTTTCTTGCATCTACAGATAATTAGCCTCTTTTTGGTCGGGGGGGGGGGGGGGGGGGGGGCATTTTTGAATTTTTTTTCTCACGTGTAGTATTTAGATAAACACAATTGCATTTTGCCCTTTAAAACTAGAGAACTTATTGACACAATAAACATTTAATATAGTTGTATTTATTGTAAATTATTTGGTTATGAACATCTAAGGTTTGTTATCATCCAATAAAGGGGAATACAATGTATAACATTATCAGTAAAGATAACACAGTATAACTACATTGGTAAATTCTTCCACACATAACTCTATAAATCATAAAATAACAGAGAAATGACAACAACAAAAAATATACATGTGCATTTACATGTAAACAGAAAAAGTTTGAAATAAAAATTCTTTAATACAACTTTTCTTTATCAAATATACATGTGCACTTACATTTAACAGAAAAAGTTTGAAATAACAATTCTTCTTTGATACAACTTTCCTTCATCAAAATGTAATTTACATGCAAATAAATTGTCCTAAATTGATCACTTTGAGTTGGCTTTGAAAGTTATTTAATATTAATAAGAAAATAAGCTTTTTTTGTTCAAATTTTTAACGACTAAGGAATTACAGAAGCAGAAGAACCTCTAGTGTTAAATCTGTCATGATGGTTTTTTCACAACTTCGGGTTATATATCTTCAATAAAACAAAGATGCATTGTTAAAAAAAATGGGGAGAAAAAATCTCAAATCTGTAGATGAGCATTGTTATCAAAACAACTTATTTACCATTGATACAAAAAAGCATTTAATACAATGTGGTAGCTCTAATGAAAAGGTTGTTACAAGGTAATGGTTTCAATTTGTAGAAGAGAAAATACATTGAGCAAGACTTCAATACAGTGTAATTAGTTATGTATTGTACAAGTCATGTATATTGCTGTTTAAAAGAAGTTTAAAGAAAAAAGGCTGCAAAAGCAAGCATTACAGTTATTACAAAATGCTGAAATTTAATACAATTTCATATACATCTTATTCAGGCAAGTGTAAATGTGTATTCAAAATTTGATCAAACTCGGCTTCAACATGTGTACAATCATGTTGTGCCTTCTGAAAATACAAAAAAATATGACAGTCGCTATATTTTTTCATGGCCTACTTTCGTAGTAGTTAATCTGCTAGGCTTTTAGTGAAATATATTTAATAATTGTATAAAATTGGAGCTAATCTGTATTATTGTCTAATTGGTTGGTATACATATCAAAATTTAGGTATTACACAATATTACATATACCTAAAAAAAAATACATGTAATCGTCTAACTTGGATTAAGCAATAAACGAGCAAAAGATATATTGAAAATGCAACATTCTAACAAATGCAAACATTCTCTACATACATGTACAGGTATGTATTACTATAAATAAACATACCTTTTTCAACTTTTAAGCCATACATTTTTATAAATATTTGAAGTGGTCAATAAAAATTACAGAAATACAATACACAGTATCATATTATTATTTCAAAGTACTGTAGAGAAATGGTACTAAATGATTTCTGGCATTAAAAGAGCAGCATAACAAGCACCATCAAGAAGCTATGCATGAAACATGGCAAAACTTCTTTTTATAAAATACACAAAATGACCCGTATTTTTATAAAGAAAGTACAGCTGAACTTCAGTATCTCACGATCGAAAGCTAATATGTAAAATACCAGGTTATGTCCAATTGTTTTACAATTCTCAAGCTTTTTTCCTTGACTATTTTGAATCCTTGAGTATTGCCAAATGTTCTTCTCCCTCCCATCAAGTTTGAGATAAAAAGGTTAGACTGTATTAAATATTGCCTGGCAATCATTTTTGAGCTCGATTGCAAGTACATTTGTACTGCAGAGTGCATCAGACCAAATACAAGGTAACACTAAATTTACGGTAGTGTACTAGAAAACAGAAGAGAATGCAAGTGTTACACAGTGTAACAAAGTTTTTTTTTTAGGAAAGGAAATGAAATGAACAATAATTTCTTAATGTTATGTATATACATGGATATATATATGTAATAATTCTGTAAAACTTCATGTAACCTTAATAGGTCATGAACAAAGGTAAAAAATACAACCTATTGCACTTTTTTTGCATTTCTTCAAATCACAAGGCAAAAATATCGATACAAAGTTTTTCTAAACACACTACATTTTTTTGTTTGGCCTATATGAGCAAACATTTGTTTACAGTAAATTTCTGAAGAGAATACGGTAACATTTCTTTTTTCTCTTAGGCAGGAAATTATAAAATCATGTTATCATCAAGCTCTCCCCTTCCCAAATAATCCCCCCTCTACATTCGAAAAGTTATAATGTTTTAACAAAAGCAAGATCAACGTTAAAATATTGTTAAGTACACTTACAACAAATTTAGTAAAATATATCCATATTTGAAAAATATCAGTATAAATTTGTAAGTAAATGTAACATATGATAAACAATTTTATTATGAGTATATGCTAACAAGAAATTACAGAGTGTATGTATATAAATTTGATACTAGTAAACATAAATGTAATGTATACATCGTAGGTTCTAAGTTCACTCATTTGTAAATTTTGTTGTAAATGTGATGAAAAACCAATCAGTCCATATAAAACAAACAGATAACATTTTTAACTCATCAAAGAACAGGTAAAATGTCAGATATTCATGAGATTCTCTTTCCAGCAGTTCAACTTTTTCCTCTTACCTACATGTGTATAGAGTTTAAATGCAATTGTGCAGTATGATGAAAAAAATAATAAATAAAAAATAAAGGTGCTTTGGGAAAATGCAATGCATTGCTATGAAAAATGCTGAACAAAAATTCAAAAAAAAAAAGTTGCACAAACTCAACAACACAACATAACTCATACATGTTAACTATGGAAATTCAAATGACAAAGATTTAATTCACAAAGGGAAAAAAAATCTTTAAAAGATTCAAGGTTTAAAACCATAGTTCATCAAAAATGATAATGAAACACGATTCCTTGTGTACAGAGCATTAGAAAAACTAGATGAAATCAGTATTATACATGTTAACTAACAGTAATACATGTAGATAAATAGAAAGACTATGTGGGGTAAGGTTTTGGTATGATTAACATGGGATACCCTTGAACCGCATTGTCTTGAATACTCGGATATCTCAAAGGTATTTGTTCATCTCACTGAGATTGAGATATTGAGGCTTAATTATAATTATATATATGACCCAATTAGCACTTGAAATAAGGACTCATTTGGGATAAGATTATTAGAAATTCAATATAATTTGAATGAAAGGAAATTTATATAAGATGTAAGGAAAATGCTTTGAAAAGAAATTCTTAGACTAACAAAAGGGTAAAAATGCTGCATTTAAATGTAAACATACAACCTTATCTTAAAAAATGAGCACACTTTTTTCTTCATAAAGTCACCATCAAATAACGAAACTAGCTCAAGATCTCTTCCATAAACTTATATCTTTCATTCAGATCAGCTCTAAAAAACAATAATGCATTGCCAATGTTTATTACACACATAAGAAAATTAGCCTAAGACAAATATTTCGCTAGACAACATTACTATTCTCTGCCTCTGGTGATGCTGATTTCCGATGCACCAGTTCCATGCTTCCCATTTCGTTTGTTTTATATCGCTGATTTTCATCCTCGATGATCTTCTCGATTTCACCCTCGGTGATGGGTTCCCCTTTCGCTCGGAGGAGCTCCGTCTTGATGATGATTTCGTTACTCATGTACGCTTCCCTGCGAATGTGTAACTTGAGTTTCTCCGGGACGTCGGGTATTAACCAAGCTATCAGGCCGGTTATTACCACAATGACATTCTGAAGAAAAAAAATCAAATCAATTTAAAGTTCATAAACCCTCTGCTCATTAATATAAAATGTTGCTTAAACCTTAATGATTCTCCAAAACAAATGTACTTTAGAAGTAAAATACAAACATTTATAGCATAGCTTGTGGGGCAAAATTGGACAAAAAAGACACTTCAACTTGGCAAATTTATAAAGATACGATAGACATTTATGTCATTAAGAGCTATCTCTCTTATCAGAGTATCAATGAACCTTCTTAAATAGAGTATGAATACATGCTATTCCTCTTTAGACTTATATTTGTTATCTGCACTGGGAGTCCACAATATTATAAATATAGTAAAAATTGTCTATTCTGGACCGCACTGGTTCCAAAGATATTGGCCAAATTAGACAAATACCAGATTAAAATTGGATTTACTGCAAGGTACTTACAAATTTACACCATATTAGACAAGATTTTAGATTATACAACATATGGACTACAAAATTTCATGAACCTGTACATTATTGATTATTATTCAAAGTACTGTACCTTACATGCATCACCTTGGCTTTAACAGAGATGTAAATTAAAATACTTGTTTTGTGAACATACCTCAAATGCCACCACAAAAGCGAACCTGGCGGCCAGGATATGCCAGTACATTTGTGAGTATTCGTAAGGTTTGTCAGCATCAGGGGGATTCCGAAAATCTCGGTAGCTGTAAATTTAAATACCAAAGTCAGTTATTTTCCTTTGAACAGCTGTTTTTAAATTAATCTCACAAAGAGAAAGCTCAATGCAAGATCGACATTTTTAATGACGTACTGAAATTCTTGTTTTCAAGTCTAGAGCAAATGCAATTCCTGAAATAGTTTCTTTTACTAGAGAAAATCCCTTTTATTCATCAATTAATATTTCAATATTTATTTTCTTTCTACATAAACAAGGGCCTGTTGAGCAAACCTTCCAACAAGCAAACATAGAGGACAAAATTATGATAGAAAAGAAGAGAAATACCACCTGCAATAAATCTGCATGAAGAAACAAGTAATCGAAAGACTTACAAGCAAGTTTCGACATTTTCACTGCCAGGAAAGGCTGGGCGATGAGATTCGCTAAAATCTGAGGTGTTGAACACAGAAAGTGTTTGACTTATGTAGCCCTCCAGACCACCTGTCTTACTATATGATGTCTCATACACAAGACGAGGGATGAAATCTGACGTCAAGGCAATGATGAAAGCCTATTGGACATAAAAACTATATTTTAAATAGGATACAAAAAAGTACAAGAGGCCCAGGGGCCACAGCGCTCACCTGAGCACATTGGCTAGGAAAAAGCACATATCAGATCAGAACTGAGAAGTTTACTGGGGGGGCTTGAATTTTAACCCCCCAGGGGTTCATGATTTGAACAAACTAGAATCTACACTACCTGAAGATGATTCCATATTAATATCACTAATCAGCTTTGAAGTACTTGAAAAGATGATTTTAAAAGGTTTCCCTATAAATCCCTATGTAAAACTTGGGTCGGCCATTGGCATTTTGGCCCCACCCTAGCCCCAGGGGGTCATGATTTGAACAAACTTGAATCTACACTACCTGAGGATGATTCCACATGAGTTTCATCTTTCCTGGCCCAGTGGTTCTTGAGAAGAAGATTTTTAAAGATTTTTCCTATATATTCCTATGTAAAACTTGGGTCGGCCATTTTGGCCCCACCCTAGCCCCGGGGGGTCATGATTTGAACAAACTTGAATCTACACTACCTGAGGATGATTCCACATGAGTTTCATCTTTCCTGGCCCAGTGGTTCTTGAGAAGAAGATTTTAAAGATTTTTCCTATATATTCCTATGTAAAACTTGGGTCGGCCATTTTGGCCCCACCCTAGCCCCGGGGGTCATGATTTGAACAAACTTGAATCTACACTACCTGAGGATGATTCCACATGAGTTTCATCTTTCCTGGCCCAGTGGTTCTTGAGAAGAAGATTTTTAAATCTTTTTCCTATATATTCCTATGTAAAACTTGGGTCGGCCATTTTGGCCCCACCCCAGCCCCGGGGGTCATGATTTGAACAAACTTGAATCTACACTACCTGAGGATGATTCCACGTGAGTTTCATCTTTCCTGGCCCAGTGGTTCTTGAGAAGAAGATTTTTAAAGATTTTTCCTATATATTCCTATGTAAAACTTGGGTCGGCCATTTTGGCCCCACCCTAGCCCCGGGGGTCATGATTTGAACAAACTTGAATCTACACTACCTGAGGATGATTCCACATGAGTTTCATCTTTCCTGGCCCAGTGGCTCTTGAGAAGAAGATTTTTTAAAAATGCCATTAATTTTTCTCTAATTCATAATTATCTCCCCTTGGAAAAGGGCGTGGCCCTTCATTTGAACAAACTTGAATCCCCTTTACCCAAGGATGCTTTGTGGCAAGTTTGGTTGAAATTGGCCCAGCGGTTCTTGAGAAGAAGTCGAAAATGTGAAAAGTTTACGGACAGACAGACAGACGGACAGACGGACGCCGGACAAAATGTGATCAGAAAAGCTCACTTGAGCCTTCGGCTCAGGTGAGCTAAAAAAATTACATATAAAGCCAATAAAATAAATTTTGTCATGTAAAAATATGCCAGGATAAAATATATGGTATAATTTTGTGTTGAAAAACTTACATTTGAAATAATGGCAATCCTAGAGATTCCATATAAAACACTGTACCAGATTCCTGAAGAGAGAGAGAGGTACAATGTATGTCATTGTGCAATTGCCATGCTGCAAATAATTTTTAATTTCAGATATATGATTCTCAAATATTTATTGTTATTGTCCACATTAAGATGTCCGACAATGAAATAAATCTCAGACTGATAATGTATGCTTCTCAGCGATTAGTTTTTCCATATGATTCCAAATGAAAAATAGACTGTTAACAGATATATTTCATATTACATGTAGCACAATATATTCTTTGAAATTCAATTTTATCTTCCAATTTGACCAATACAGCTACAGGTATAAAATTTCACAGGGTATCCCATTTCAGTCCAAGTGTAACATTCATTTAATGTAAAGTTACCTATGTCTGGAATCCTCTCTGCCATTGGCCTCCTGAGCTGGGTGGTGAATTTGACAGCATCAAATCGGATCTCCAGTATGTTGTTAATCAGGGCAAAGAGAGGTCCCAGGGGGAAGGCTGCCACAAAGAGGGTCAAAAACCCAAACTGCAGTACTGAAATGTATTAAAGAAAGTAATAAACTGTCTGATACACACACTTAATATACAAACTTAAGTTCCTTAAATAAAAATGTCTGCCCAACTTAGTAAATGTCTTTGAAATACAGATAAACTAGTATATGTATCTAGGAAATCAATATCTTGAATAGTATGACAAATGTCAACAGTCAGGGGTGTGACTGAAATCCATCATTTTTAAAAATGATATTTCTAGTCAAGACATGAAATAGATTTTTAAAAATTTATTTTAGAAAATAGAATTACCTCTGATATTAACTATGACTGTATTTCATCATTTTTTATCAAATTGTTAGCTCTGGGCATACTTAATTACTGTGGTTTCATCAATATTCGTTGAGCACCAATTTTCGTGGATTTCGTTGTTGAACAGATCCACGAATTCAAATGTTCATTGAATTAAGAAATATGCTATTCATTTGTATAGGCAATGCTTTTGTCCACGAAATTACGTATCCTCGAAAACGTCTGTTTAATAAAATCCACGAAAATTGATGCCCACGAAAATTGATGAAACCACAGTATCTCGTTAGTTTTACCGGGTGCACTAATTTATTTTGGTTTCATTTACTTGTCAAGATGTTTCTTTACACAAGGGTCTATGGCAGGATAGTGTACTATATCTAATTACTGTAGTAAATGGGTTGGGAAAATTGACTTAGGAATGGAAATGTGATGAAAAGAAGTCATATTTACAAAAATAATAAAACATGTATATTATATACCTAGAAGAAATGACAATTATCAATCATTTTAAAAAAATGATGCATTTCAATCACACCCCTGACTGTTCAAAGTGAGCTCCAAGTCTACCATTTTTTGGGGGGTATAAACTTTCTTCATGCAATCTTTGGATATCTTTAAGTTTTTCTATCTTGTTGGGTATGGGATAAATTATCATATTTGACTAAAGAAGTTATCAGTCATCAAAATCACTGTAATCTATGTCTCCACCAATGTTAGACATATTTTTGTTTCTGTTTTTTTTTTAATCATGTCCATCTAAAAAATTCATGAAAGCAACATTATCTTTTAACTGTGAAAGCCCGACAACCCTGAACTTACTCATTTCCAGATACTCGTAGAACAGTGAGGTGGTGTCTGCCGGCTGTAGTCTGTAGTCCTTCTCCCACGGAGACTTGTTCATCTTCTGCTCCTTGGTCTCAGCCCAGATCTTCCTCTTTATCCACTTTATCAACTTCCTGTAAAATACAATTACATTTTTGTCAATTCCTGTAAAACACAATCAACTTCCTGTAAAATACAATTAACTTCCTGTAAAATACAATTAAATTTTTGTAAATTCCCGTAAAAGAGATTCAACTTCATGTAAAATACATGTACAACAAACTTTCAGTAAAATGCTTTCAATTTCCTGTAAAATACAGCTACTACCTGCAAAGCACAATCAACATTGCTTTAGAAAATGTACTCAAATTCAAATTGAACCTAAGCTGGTTAAAGCAATACAATCTATATATATGAATTTTTTTATCGCTGAGATTTGATAAGATACCGATGAATTAGCTAGAATGACGACCAACATTTAAATCATACAATCTGAGTATCCCTAAGCTACGATAAGTAACTGAAACTGCTTATTATTGTTTGCAGCTAACTGTAAAGTTTCACGTTACGTCATGATCTTTTTCGTCAGATGCATCCAATGTAAACAATTCACATGATTGGTCAATTCAAATTATCAACATTGACACGGAAATAGTCTGTTGCACAAGCAACCAATCAGGGATAAGAAGAAAGTTCCCGTTGTAAAGCTTGCTGTTAGGGGGCGTGTACAATTTACCTTGAGTGCAGCTGTCAACTAGATCGTGACGTAACGTGAAACTTTACAGTTATCTGCAAACTATAATATTAAACGACATTTATTTAACTTACGGTATAAGAATCTCTACAATGTTGTTGACAATCAGCTGTTTTCCTGTCATGATGATAGCCAACTGAATACATAGCTCAATCAGACATCCTCCTGCCTCACACTACAGATATGAAATTAAATTTTTTACAAATTAGAAAATTTCAACATGTTGATTTATGATGTGAGAAATATTAATATTTTAATATTCATAGCAAATCCCAAATAATCTGTGTAAACAATAAATAATATCTAAGTATACTGAAGGCCCCCCCCCACCTCCTCCTAAATCATTCTTCAAGATGTCTTACCTCTTCTTGGCGACCTCCAAATAAAGTGGCGTATTTTCCTGGACGTCCAACCATTCTAAAAAATTACCAAGTAATGTTAGCTAGTACAGATTGGAACGGTGAATTCTAGCTTTCATGACTTCAAAAAATTTCACCAAGTAAATAATTCACTTCTAACAAACAATCTTCATTATTCATATTGTTACAGAGCACACTTGCAGGGAAACATGTCATATACAGTACTTTTAATTTATAAATACTGTAGATTCCTAATGATACAATGTACCTGAGAAATTCATTATCGCGTAATTTCATGAGAAGCATCACTCGCGAAATAAATTTACTTGCTTTTATTTCTATGGTTCTACAATCCATGTAAATTCTCTTGATCAACCCTCCATTTGCGAATAATTATTCTCGCAATTTGACGTTTAAGAGCCATTTCGCGATAATAAGTACTCGCGAAAAATAAGGAATTTACAGTAAGCAAGTGCTGATTGCACATTTTAAAAATTTTGAAAATCTCTTGACAATGACTTTTCCGACAAAGGTTCTACCTTAAGTTGTATTTATAAAAGCAAACTTCTTTACAGATTCACCTTTCACATTATAAAAGCATTTGTATTAACATATTTACCTCCCTTTGAAGAATGCGATATAGATAATGGAGGAGTAGTAGTTGACGAACTGTAGAGAGAACAGTTTGAGGGTGATACTGTCGTCGTACTCCTTCTGAGTACGCAAGCACTCTAAGTCAGTCAGCCAGAAAGCCAGGCGACTGTAAATCTACAATCATGGGAGAAAAATAAATTTTATGAAACTAATGAGTGTACACGGAAACCTTCTTTCAAAATAAAAAGATAAAAGATTTAACTATTCTAACAAAATGTCACTTTCTGTGCCAACAGTTTGAACAGAAGTTTGACAAGTTTTGTAATAATGAAAAAATACATCAAACCTCTAAAGAAAACTTTGAATATGTGTGAGTAAATTGGCAATAAAAGAGAGAAAATCTATTTTTCAATAGTGCCCATAATTTGAATCAAAGTTTGACACGTTTGATCACAAATTGTATAAATTCTCTTTGATATCTCTGAAACCTTAAAAAAAGTTAAGCAATCAGACATACAAAAGCTGTAACAGCTACAAATGTAGTTTATAGAGATTTTTTTTCCCATGAGATTTTCTGTCTTTCTCTCGAAGTCATACAACAGGTATCAGCTGTTACAGAGCTTTACTTACAAAGTTGAGTATAATGATGATGAGGAGATTGATACAGGCCGCGGTAACCGTGGTGACCAGACTGGCGTTCTGATAGATGACCTCCGCTGTGGATGCAATGAACGTGGAGTTGGTGACTGGGGTGTTCTTAGTGAGGACCTGCAGGGCGGCCAGGGTGGAGATACGGTAGGCTATCACCCCCACAACTGCCACTATAGCCAGGAAGGCCTGAAATCATAGAGGTAGTATATTAATTTAATAGGAAAATAGTAGACATGGAGAGAAATGTAAAAAGGTGTATAGAATGAAAATCTAAAGCTTTCAAACTGAGATGGTTGACATTCAAAATATCAAATGTAAAATTTTCAGATAAAAGGAAATGATAGTATAATAAATAAATCCATTTCAACTATTTTGCTACCATTGAATTAAAAAGTTTAAACTTTTTCTTACTGAACTCAATTGTCCTATACCATATGAATAAAAGTATTTCTACCCATTCTGACAAAAAATCGATGAAATCATGCCAAAATACCATATAAGTGGAAATTTTATTGAGAAGTAAATTTAGCGATTTCTCCTTAAAAACTGTTATTTAATTATTAGCGAGAAGTAATTTTAGCGATTTAAAATGCTCGCTAAAGCTATTCAAATTAAAATGCTATTACTTTAAGCGATATTCAATTTTAGCGATCTCTGCATCCTCGCCAATAATGAGAAAATTAAATCCTCACTAAAATTTCTACTTATACGGTATTAGCAAAAACCAATGATACTCACAAGAAACAACATGGCAGTCCAGGACATGAGGTAGATAGGAAATCTTTTTCTCCAGAAAGGAAGATGTGGCTCTTTTATCTACAACAGTTGTGATATGAATAACCACTCGATAAAAGTAAACAGTAAATAATTTAGTAAATAAATACTGCCCAACTGAAAATGAAGTGTTTTCTAGTCTCTCAAAGTCATTGCCTGTTCAAGCTTACCCCTGTAATGGGATGTTCTTTGTAAGTCGTAATATGTTCAAGTTTGGCAAGGAATTCTGGTCTCGGAGGTTGCTATGAAATAGATGTTCATAAATTTACTTGACTGCATGTCACTTAACAAAACACAATACTTTTTCACACATAAATTTCACAAATCGTTTTTAATCACATAAATAATCGGTCACAAAATACAAGATAAGCTATAGGAAGTTTAAGGAAGATAAATTATCTTCACCTCCTCTGTAACAAAGTCAGTCAGATCCCACTTAAACTGTAAGGCTGCCTGTTTCCTCTTCCAGAACTCCAGGAACAAAGTACCTTTAAAAAGATGAGACAGCATACAACAAATGTTCATGTAGTTTTAAATATTACACACTCAATCAGTAAAGCACATTACTCATGAAGTGCCAGGGAAGAACATAGAGTTTGTCTGATAAGTAATGAAAATATCTTTGCTGTAAGTATAAATTCATCATAAATGTATTCTATGTATTAAGTGTTTTTAATGCTTATAGTGGTCAAACTTTCAGATCCTTTTTTCACTTCCACATTTTACAACAGATCAATTTATTAATCTTATCTTTTCAAATATTTGTTCAATGTCCTATTCCTATTGCTAAACCTGAAATTCTTTAAAATGAAGACCTTTGAAACTTAATTACCCCAAAATGACATGAAGATGGCAAAGAACACAGTGGCACCATTGTCAAATATCCTGCTCGCTCGAGCATGTGAGCAGGCTGCACTCAGCTTCCAGTATGGACACTGGTAATCACATAGGGGACACATCGTGAAATTCTTACTCTCATCACAAATCTCATTCCTAATATCAAAAGAAGAAATAAAAAGGACTCTGAATTAAACAAGAACATCTACTTATAAAATATTTGGAAAACTCAGTTTTGAATTGCAAACAGTATTTGTCGAGTCAAATTGTTAAAAAATTCTTTAGTTTCAAACAAAATGGCGAAAGATCAGCATTAAAATACAAGAATTTTAAATATTTCTGACCAAATGACATGCTCCATAGATCAAAAGTTTTTAAACAATATGGAATGACTAAAACATTAAATCGTATCTAAAATTTTGATTCGGTGATGGTTACATGTTAGTAAAGACATTTTCTTGTCGTATATAATTTTCATGAACTTTCGTTACAACCAGAATGATGACATACGCTGGATAACTGTTGCCAGATATTGCACAACCGTAGATAAACACGATCAGCCCGATGAGGGAAGCTGGTATCAACATCTGTGTGTAGAAACCGAGCCAGGCAAAGTATATAGCAATCTTCTCTCCAAAGTAGCCTCTAATCAAAAAATAGCCATGTATGTACAATAAATTTGGCATTTAAACCAGAATACACTGAAATATACATGTAATCATGCATATCAAGACATCCTCATTTGATAAGCGTAAACAATGAGCCAAATTACAACTCAAAAATAGAAAAAACTGGGCACTGCATGATGCCAAAAAATGATACCATTCAAATCCTTATTGGTCAATGTCATAGTTTCTGATACTATGTAAATATGGCAAAAAATTAACTGATTTAAGTATACAATTAATCAACCTTTTGATAATCATTTACCAAAGGTCATAGATTTTTTTTCTTACTTACAATCAAGTTATTTTCTATCCCCTAAAAATTATATATTTCAAAAATCCAAAACCACAGTTATGTTTATTTTCAGACTCCTTCCACGGTTCACTGATTTAGCAGTCACATGTCCACTCACCTGACATGGTCCAGTGGCTGCACTTTGAAGCAGTTTCTCCAGTTCGCCCAGTAATCAAACAGTAACTTCCTTTCATTGTCAGCTGACCCAGGCTTCCAATGACCCTGTCAATAAACAAGGTCAATACATATATATTATTATAACAGTAACTTCTTGTCATTGTCAGCTGACCCAGGCTTCCGACAGCCCTGTCAACAAACAAGGTCAAACTCAATGGTATCAAGAAAATTTTTTGATACATCTTCAGTTTATCCAGAGTATACTTAAAGAATTAATTGGTTGAGGACCTCAAATTCGCTCCATATATCCATGCTATTAAGTTTCAACTGAACTTAAATGAACATTTTATGGTCATCATTTTGCATCTATAAATTAAATCTTTGAGTAATATTTTACATCATATCAAATTAATTGGTAAAAAATATTTGGTCTCCCTTGAAATAGAAATAAAACCTACCTCATGGAGGGGGTAAGCATCTGTGTAATGTCCATCTGCAATCATCTTGTTAATACCTGCAAATAAATACTGACCAATCACATCTTACATTTCATCCACAGTCTGGAGCAATTACATGTTTACAAATTACAGATAATGTGCTATATAGTTTTTCTAAGCTTTTATTTCCAGAGATGAATATTTCAATAACAAATAATACAAGGTGACATTCCATATCATAACACACTTTAAAATTAAACCAATTTCTACTTTTGAAACCATTGGATATTTCTAGTTTTTTTTTTTTAAAAAAACCTTTCATCAGGTTCAAGGTACTGAGAACTGCATAATTTTAAGTTTACCACTGGTTTTCAAAAAGGTTTATTAATGAACAAAGATGAAAAAAAATTCCTCTTACCGAAAGAGAATGCCTTTTCTTTCTCCTTGCTGAAAGCCTTACGTCTCAGGATGAAGTTGACAATGCGGCTCCGTGTAGCATTATCGAAGTACGTGTCCCTATCCTCAGGTATGTCAAACCTAAACAACAAAGAAAAGTAAGGGTACATTGTACAAGAGGAATTCACATATTCCCCTAATTCAGCAATTATCAAGGTCAATTTAACTGTTTAGTAAATCCTTCCTATATACTGTAAAAGCAATGTTTTCATGGGGGTCAAATTTTCATGGTTTTAGGGGGAAAATAATTGATTAGGGGGAGGGGGGGGGGGTTGATTTTATGGATGAAGAATTATTGTTGAGTAGTTGTGTATAGTAATTATTACATTTTGTAGTGGACATGAACTTGAATAGTTGGTCTCTTTATGCCTTGAAAAACAATGAAAATTAAAGCACAGTGACCCTGAAAATCATTGATTTCAATGTATCAAATACAACAATATGTAACATTTTGTAGTGGACATGAATTTGAATAATTGGTCTCTTTATGCCTCAAAATACAATGAAAATTAAACCACCATAAAAATTATTGATTTCAATGCATTAAATATAACAATTTGGGGCTTACATATGGAACTTGCAAGTTTAGCAAGCAGAAAGGCCATATATACTTACAGATATTCCTTGTCTCTGCTGTAAGCCAGGTTGAACCTCCTTTTTACTGGCTTAACTTTCGTGGTGTCCACTTGGAAAGGGGTAAACAGTTTCTTTGTAAATGAGGTCATGGTGTCCCACAGGCGGGTACTGACAGCCTTAATTGGGGTCTGCAAAAATTTTAAACATTAATTTCAAAGTTCATAAAGATGGAAAGTGTCGAAAAGATTGTTAAAGAAATATTTTCTAATATAAGTATAGCTAAACTAATATCGCTAAATATAGTTACATAGAAAAGCATTAATGTATAAAAAATAAATTGAAAGATACATAATTTATTGATATTAGACAATTGATCTTCATTCCAGAGCTTAATTAAGATTATAAGTTTATGTGTTAATTTATACTTTATTTCCGATTTGCAATCAGATGCTCTGTAAAGAAATTAATCATTAATCATCTGCAAAATGTTCTGGCAAATACTGGTTTCTCCCATTCTCCCCATTTTTTAAGTATTCCAAATGCACACATGCTGCAAATTCTAAAGCAAAATCTTAATTCATTGATTTAAGGGAAAAAGCAATCAGAGCACTTTACTATTAAATTAATAAGCATGTCACTTTACCAGCATAGTTTTGATGAATTGTAGAATATATACCAAATTGAAAGCAATAATTTAAATTGCCTGTCATGTCCACTCATTAATTATTTCATATTATTAAAATGATCTCTTTTCATAATCACAATCCTTGGTTGCACATTTGTGTTTCATTGACATATAGATGAAGGAATTATATTACTGTACAATTCAGATAAGTTCATTATAAGCACAAGTTCCCAGTGTACAAAAATCAATTGAACAATTTTAAGGCTTTCTTATTACTATAAGTACCTCTCTTTTCCCAAACAAGCATTGCTAGCTAATAAAGTTTTAAATTTAACACAATTTGTTATGAAAACCTATACAGCTCTTTTCAAACTATTTAAACACAAAGTTTTTTGTGATTTTCAGAGTAATTTCTACATTTTCCACTTAATAACTAAGTTTAAAATGGATTATAATGCTTACATATTTGTTAGACATGGATATTAACACATGCTCAGAGGTTTTTGCTCAAAGTTATTTCTCCTGGGTGGTTGCAAACATGTGTCATTCAGACTGTTATTCATGCATTGCATTCCACCAAACACTAAACACATTGAGACAATCAAGTGATGGAACTAATAATCTTAACAGTAAAATTCAGTTCAAGATGCAAACAATGAATTTTAATACATGTACATCGGTAATAAGTAATACTAGAGATATATAAGTAAAGAAACATAGTGTGAAATCACTTATTTTCATGGGATTTTTTTGTTGTTTTCGAGGTATGAAGAGACAAACAAATTTAAGACCAACATGAAATGTAAAATTTCATAATTATGCATTACTACTAAACATTGTCCAACCAAGTAATCAAATCCCCTAAATCCAATATTTTTTCTCAAACCTTGAAAATTTGACCCCACGAAATTATGTGATTTTACAGTATATATTTAATTAATGCCATACGATAATTAAATAGTTAACTTTTCTCAATATGCACAAACATGGATAAAGGAAAATATTAAAGTAAAATCTCAGGGTGAAATTTTTTTAAAGAAAGTGAACTGAAAACAACTTTGAACTATAGAAACTGCAATAACAGAGTGCATTTCAACTATTGAACAGAGACAGCTAGAACACATTTCAACAATTTAAACAGAACATCACAGAACAAAGTTCGACCAGAACAGGCACTAGCACCAACGATAGCTCAACCACAACGAGAGGAATTCCATTGATGGAATAGGAACATCATACCACCACGCGGCGACGAAACTCGTTGACCCCGCTCTTTATAAGGATTTTCTATGCATTGGCAAGAATACACACACAAAGATATTAATAGACGTGTCTACAGAATTATATCACATGTATAACATACTGAAAACCAACTATTATTCACGTCTTCTTTTATTTGTGATTCGCAAGTATGAGATCAATCCATGACAATTAATTTTCGTAAACGAGGAAACATTTTGTACAAATATTTATCAAATTATTGGTTCGCGGCGATTAATATTTGCGAATAAAAGTAGGTTGCAGAACTCGCAAATATTTCTAACAGGCGAAAAAAAGTTGCTTTTCAGTATACAAAATGAGTACATTGCTGGTTTGTTTTACTCCAAAGAAACATTCAGATTATTACTTTGGAGTTGAAATTAAACATTTCTATAGTTTTGTGGAGTCAACTACAAATTTCAACTCAACATAACTGAATTTCTAAATCATGAATTTTTAACTAAGATTTCAATATTTTACCAATGAGTTGAAAATGTAATGATTGAAATTACGAGCCACAAGCACTCACTTTAATCTTTGCCATGTCCTTCTTAAGATTTAAACAAACCAACATTATTTAATATGTGCTATGTACATTAATTAATACACATCAAAATACAACTAGCATCTAAATTATCATTATAGTTTTAATATTGAAACTTAAGGAAGATGTTTTCCATAGGTCCCAAAAACTGCTAATTTCATCAGCTCATAGTGGTGGACCATATACTGTAGATTTCTAATTATTAGCGAGGAATTTATTATCATGTCATCTCGTGAGAAGTAGTAAACGCGAAATTAAGTTACTCGCTTTTATTTTTATGGTGGTAAATTCCATGTAAATTCTCCTGATCAATCGTTCATTCGCGAATAATCATTCTCGCGATTTGACGTTAAAGAGCTATTTCGCGATAGTCGCATAAAATAAGGAATTTACAGTAAATAGCTAGAGCAAGATATATTTATGTTAAAAAAAACATTAAAATTGGGCTATGTAGCTAGAATGCATTATGACTTAGAATCTACCATTTTTTTAATAAAATCCTTAGTATTAAACAGACTGCTTACGTGAACCATCAAATTACCAAATTAATTAAGGCTGCATGTAAAGACTCTTTGATGAATTTTAAGCTTATTTAAAGAAAAGTGCAAGATATGTCAAATGCATGGGCACGAAAAGTTTAAAATTTCTTCCTGTGCTCATAGGCAGTGATGACCTTCACTAGTTAAAAAAATAAAATGTTGGTTTAATATAGCACAGCAAAAAATAAAGTATGTAAAGACGAAAAAAATGTATGATCAGGGTTACTAGAATGCACGCACACCTTGTGTATCTTGGTGAAAATGCATCAGAGTTTACTTACTTCGCTATCTGGATTGTAATATGTGTACTAAAAATAATGGTAATAGATAAATTATGCTGTATGTGACTTAACTTGTACAAATGTATTGGTCTTTTCCAAATATTTTAAGCTTTCAAGAAATCAAGATGCAGCTCACTTGTTTGAAGTTTTAAGTGTTTCCAATGCTAGTTATTCTAGAACTTACTGTAAATACATGTATCTCATATAGAAAAAAGAAAACAAATAAAAAATATCTAAAAATTAGAAATAAGCCTTATAAAGTCACAATTCAACAAATTAGAAAAAAGAAAAAAATCTAGCATCTTGCATTTACAGGTAAAGGCATAGCTTCTAAAATTCTGATGCAAAGAAAATTTCAGAGTCAGGCATAATCAACTAATTATTTAAAATAAGTATTGTTTAATGTTTAGAAAAAGCAAGATATAAATCAAGAAGTATCTGAAATCTTTTTGACTGTTGTCCTATAACTATCTAGTATCTATTCACAGAATTAATATATATATAGCTGCATTTATAGTTAACCCTAAACTTCATTTATTAAATTAATGAAATCTCCAGTTCAAAAAGTACAACCAAAGTGAAAGTATAAAACTAGCCAAAGTGAAAGTCAGAGAGAATCAGAGTTCACAAAAAGCTTACATTTCCAACCTGCACATCACAGGAAAATTAGAAAACGCACTACTAAAAAATGCAAGAGGAAATGACTTTATAACAAGTACCTCGAGTTTGGCGTACTTCTCGTGAATCTTTTCCAAGTCCATGCTCTGTTGATCACACCGATAAAAGACGTACATATTAAGTAGATATACAATAAATGTAGAAAAATGGCTCTACATCTGGACGTACACAAATAAGTATACACTGTACAAAACATGTACACAACACAATACAACCCCCCCCTCCCCACACACTAAACCTTAATCTTATAATTATCATGGTTCATTTAATTATAATGTAATATTAGAGGCTTCTCATATACATGTATTTATCTTCATAAATAACATAAAAGCTTAGTTTACAAGCTAACATAAATACATTAGGCCAAAAGCAGCAAATTAAAAGGCATCTCTGTAATGTATGTTTCATTTGTTAAGTAATTATGTTATTAATATGCATATATTTACAAATAAACTGATGATATTTCAGTCATTTCTGAATCTACATGATTTGGACTTTGCTGTATTTTGTACTTTTCAATAATTTATGTCTAAAGCTGTGTAAGTGTATTCATAAATATAATTATCTAATTTCCTTAAATAGTTACTAATCATTAAATTTATTGCACATGATTACAACAATGAAAAAAAATTGACAAAAAGAATTAGTGCACCTTATTTACCTTGAAAAGATTTACATGCAAAGTATTTTCAAACTAAGCTACTACATCAAAAGGAAGTTATCGACCACAAAGAATAACAGACCTTTTTCACTGGCATGCGGACTTTCAGGATTTCGGCATAACGGGTCAGAACTTCATACGGAGCGTGCACCTTCAGATAGTGGATTTCTTCTCCCTCTTTCTGCAAATATTTATTGTCATAATTATTTTTAAAAAAGATTGTTGATAAAGAAAGAATTTTTTTGTTGACTAAAATTTCTTCAGGTAGAGTTATTCCCCTTTAGATGCTTTTACTTATACAATAATTGTGAGAATGCTATAGATTAACAATAACTGCACTTTTCAAACAAACAAATTTAATGAAATTTTAATTTATTCATAGAAAAGAATCCTAAGCACATTAATTGAAACTAAGTTGCAATTAGTTTACAAATCCGAAATCCCCGTCTTTTTAATTTAACAATCAGTCGATCTATGACAGCAACTTTTCATAAAAACAAGGGGCTAAAGAATACTCTAGATTTAGAATTGAATATCTATAATCTAGAATTTCTTTTTTGCAATGATGAATCAGGAATTAGATCCCAGCTAGGACTAACTTCATCCTTTTCCAACTCTAAGCCCTCCTGTTTCAGGTTTTCCTCGAATATCGCCCTGGCCTGTGCGGACTGTGCCAGTTTCTCTGGTTTTCCCTCTGTGCTCCACGCCAGGATGTAGTCAATCCTCTTTTTGCTCTTCTTGAAAAACATGTTACGGCCCTACAATAGTAAAATATTAAGCAATTAGTAGATGTTACAACTGTTTTGCATAATTACATGTAGAAAATGTGATTTATAGCATATATTGTATATATACATGTACATGTGTATACACGTGTTCTAACTTCTTAAATATACAGGAACTGATCTTTTAATTATTTTTTTTTTGCAATGCTAAAATTACTTGCATGTTCAAATAACATGCAATTTCTCAAAATTATCTCCTTCAAAAGCTTTCATCCAGTATTTTATTTTAAACTTAAAAATTCTGAGAAAAAATTAAGACATAAACAAGTGCACCAAGACAGGATTTTCAGAATTTCAAAAATCTATAATTCAAGGGAGAATTCACATTAGCTATAGGAAGAAAGTGTAAAAAGGTTGATCTGTGCTGTTAGACTGAACATTTTTAATTTCAAGTGTCAAGAAAAATCTATCAGCATATTAGTTAGTTAATTGATTTTTCTGGAATCATTTCATTTATCTACTATGCAGGACTTAAGATGCATGAAACAAACTGTCCTTAGTGGGTCAATCAAAATGTGCAGTACAGAATTTCATTATATACAATATAAAACTCTTCAAGTTATTAAAAACCATCGTGCATAAACGATTAATTTTTAAAAAAATCAGTTTCTCTTTGATTACGGAACACTCAATATCATTCACCTTGTACACAAAACCATGCCCCAAAACCTGATGAAAACAGATTGGTTGACAAGTTAAAGCAATATGAGCTGCAACTTTGATGTCAGAATTTTTTGGTGCAAAATTGTAAATAACTATATCAATGACAGGAAAAAAAGAATGTTTACATGTATAAACTTCTGTTGTTCATATTTGTGATGTAAGAACTATTTACAAGCTTTGATCGAATCAAAATTAAATTATTGTTGTCCTGTACGATAATGATTTCTTATATAATACTGTATATTCGATTGTATAGAAGTCTTTCTCTTGAAACAATTAAATGCTTTATTTTAGTCCATTGATCAAAAAGGTTTAAATGACATACAACATATTAATCATAATTACACATTTTAACAGCAATGTATAATTTAAAAAATGTAGCTCATATTGCTTTAAGTATCTCTTCCAGTTAAATAAAATTTCTTATCTACACTGTACTCCTAAGGATGATCATGGTTGAATGAAACTTTAAAAACTATCTAGAGATGATAAAATATACAGTTTAAACATGATCTATGAAAGAAATTGAAACTTCATCTAATGGGTCAAGTAGCAGCATGATTTTCTTGATACTACAATTGACACATGACTTAAATCTGATTTTAAATAAAATAAACAAATCTTTCAAACAAACATGTACATATAAATGTAATACATTTTTTTTCATTCACAATTATTCATTATCTTCTGTTATGTGGGAGAATGCAATATTATGGTCTCAATCAGACACAATGTATCTAACTGGTCTGCACTGGAAATAATAAGCTTCTGTAGATGTACTTTTTCCAAAGGGTTATAATTCCGCGGAATCTCAATTTCTGTTTAATCCGCGAGTAGAAAATTTCATGGACTTCTAACACTGTCACTATATTCCTTACATTTATATTAAGTACGCTTGGACAAATTTCAGCAGAAAATTTGTGACCACGTACAAAGTGTAAATTAATACCACACGGAATAAGGTACTTCTACAGTATTCACATATGGTTTAAACTGTAAATTTTTATTGTTCTAAAAAATTGAAATGAGGTTGATGTCTATTGAATTTAGAAAAATACTCAGAACTTGACAAACTTGACAAATCATATGCTTTCAGATTTCTCAATAATATTGTGAAATGCTCCTATGTTAAGCTAAATCATTTTGATATTTTAGTTAATCAATCCATATTTGAGTTGAAAAATCACTTTGAAGGATAATTTTGGGTATTTCTGATCAGCCAAAGTCAAATAGCCATCCCCGATTTAGCATTGATCCCCTTAAAAATACTAAGGAACAAAAATCCAGATAAATGTTTTACCCCCTTATTTTTAAAATTTTTTTTTTGGCTGCAGCCAACTCATAACTGATTGAAGCCATACTTATCACTCATTTCTGGAAATGTCTGTGTCATTCAATCACTTTTTTTGCACAATTTGTCACTAAGAGCAACATACAAAAGCATATAATGGGAGACATAATAGTTAGAAAATCTGTGTAAAGGTATGTTAGATAGCTGAGCAGTATAGACATTCGACTCTATAAATTACCATCACTTCTTGGTCAACTGAAAACTGGAGAACAATGAAAGATGACACAAGCTTTAGCCATTATCAAGCCTGAACTTTTATCTTAACCAAACAAAAACTTGAATTGTTTGTTTTGTTCATTCCAAAGTGAAAAAACACATAAATAATAGCTCATAGTACCCTTGGTTACATAACCAAGGTTGCGGAAATATTAAAAGCTCTTTTTAAGCATAATCAAGTTCAGACTATGAAAGATCTTCCAGCATAATTAGAGGCAGAATACTGAATATCAAAAAGAATTTTAAATATATTGAAAAGAAATTAGGTTCTTTTCTACTTTAATTCATAACACTGCAAAATCTGATGTCAAATAAATAGAAACAACTGTTAAAATGCCTTTTTAACTTTATTTGATGGACCTAGAAAAAACTGCAAAATGATTTATCTGATGACAACCACAGAGTTGTCTCCCTTTCTATTTAAATCAGAGTGACCACTAGATGGTGCTGTATGGGATACTTACACTGGGTTTTTTGTCTTGGATGTCTGCATCCTCATGGTCATCATCCATCTCCCCCGGTACGCTCACACCGGCTGATTTACCTCCACCGTTTGTCTGCGATGACTGCATCACTTCATCTGAAATGGACAAACATTTTTTTTTTTATTTCTTAATTTCTTAATCAAAGCCTGAAGAGTAAAAAAAAGTAACTATATTGATAAGTAAATCTTAATGTACCTGTGAAGATTTCAAACTTAAATGTAAAATGGTGTTAAGTTTTTCAGATTTTATTACATTTTAGAGTGAGGTGTCTGAAATGTCAACTTTAGCAAAGAGGCCTTTTAAAACAATAAAAGGTAACATTGCACTTATAAGCCTAATCAAATTGATCATCAACCCATACAGGTAATGTTTGTCCATCTTTAAAATATCAGCTACAGATGTGATTATTGCTTGGAATTGCTTCATTACCGGTATTTGAAAATATAAAGACAAAATTGCATGAACATGAACACTGCACTGAACATGGTGAATATGAGAAGACTTTTCAGTGCAATTCAAAATATGCATATGAACCTGCTAATGGATTGTAGAACTCAAACTCAGGTAGGCGTGTCATCTGAGCATAAGACAATCGAGTTCTACTCCCTGTCATTAGACGCTCATCATCAGAAGCCATTTTGGAATGATGTTAAAGTTGCTATAAGCAGTGGTTAATTATTGTAGCATGCAGACTCGGGAAGTCAAATTAAAAAAAACATTGATCAAGTTCTATAACACCAGATTAATATATACATGTAAGTATATCAGATTTTACTTCCTGCTTTCTCCTTTTCCTCCAAATATCAAAGTTAACATCCTTCTAGGGAAATATACCGTATACAGTTAATTGTATTGTGTAATGAGGATTTTAACAAAAGAATAATTTGGGGTTTAATTGGAATGTCCACATAGCTGAAATTCTTTCTCTGCTGGCTATATTTTGACTGTGTTAGAATTACAGGCACAGATTTCTGTTTAAATAATTGATTTCAGTCCGCTACATACCAGCGGAGTCTCTCAGATCGACTCTGTAAATCTGCTAAATAAACAACAAAACCCACTGTCCAAAGCAATTGTTTTTCTCTCTTTTTTTCTTGCAAAAATATTTTAAAACGCCCCAAAATAATCCTACAGAATTTCACACATCCTATGACAAAAACAGATCGGTCAAGCGGAACTCCCTCTTAAAATCCAGGTCAAGATTTACATCTCTATGAATGAAACACAATCCCTTGTGACACAATTACAGATAATGCTCCCTAATTCTTTACATAACATTGGACAATAGCACTCCTCCAAACTATCAAAATCTTCCCCTTTTTTTGTCAATGTAGTTGTTGTATAGACATATCCCTAAGGTACAAAATAGAAAGTACAGGTATGCTCATTAAAGGTGAAGGTCAAATGTGTATTGGTCCAGGTGAATATTGATGGATCATATCAAAACCCATTTATTTAGTGACTAATAGCCTAAGAAATGCATTGTTTTTGACTATTTATGAGTTTTAAGAATAGCTTTTAATTATTTGATCAGTAAATAACAAGCTACTTCATCATTACCCAGTAAAAAAAAAAGTGATGTACATCAGGTAAATAAAAATTAGTATATCTTAAATTTCTACTGTAACTTTTGCTAATATTGACTTTAAATGCCTTGAACATGTTGAACATGTGCAGCATATAAAAGAGAAAATGACAGTATATAACATAACTGAAAAGTGTCTAATCTATATATTGTACTTATACATGTATATACATTAATGTAGAGATTGCATGATTATGATGATGTAGGAAAAAAAACTTGCCATTATAACTTCTATCTGCATGTATATTTTTTTATACTTTCAGATAGCCAAAAAAAAACAAGAGGCCCAGGGGCCACATCGCTCACATGAGCAAATCGGCTAGGAAAAAACACAAAACAGATCAGAACTGAAAAGTTTACTGAAGGGGGGGGGGGGGGGGCTTGAATTTAATACTACTTTGGAATGCCTTCATATTAATACAGCATATGACTTTGCTGTTCTTGATAAAAGGATTTTTTAAAAACATTTTCTTCCTATACTATCACTAATCATTGCTTTGAAGTACTTGAGAAGACGATTTTCCTATAAATTCCTATGTAAAACTTTGATCAGCCATTGTGGCCCCATCCTACCCCCGGGGGTCATGATTTGTAAAAACTTGAATTTACACTATGTGAGGATGCTTCCACATGAGTTTCATCTTTTCTGGCCCAGTGGTTCTTGAGAAGAATTTTGAAAGATTTTCCCTATATACTCCTATATAAGACTTTGATCGGCCATTGTGGCCCCACCTTACCCCCGGGGGTCATGATTTTAACAAACTTGAATCTACACTATCTGAGGATGCTTCCACATGAGTTTCATCTTTTCTGGCCCAGTGGTTCTTGAGAAGAAGATTTTTAAAGATTTTCCCTATATACTCCTATGTAAAACTTTGATCGGCCATTGTGGCCCCGCCTTACCCCCAGGGGGTCATGATTTTAACAAACTTGAATCTACACTACCTGAGCATGCTTCCATATAAATATGATGAATTATGGCTTTGTCATTCTTGAGAAGAAGACTTTTAAAGAATTTTGCTATATATTTCTATGTAAAACTTTGGTCGGCCATATTGGCCCCACCCTACCCCCGGGGGTCATGATTTGAACAAACGTAAATCTACACTACCTGAGCATGCTCCCATATAAATATGATGAATTATGGCTTTGTCATTCTTGAGAAGAAGATTTTTAAAGAATTTTCCTATATATTTCTATGTAAAACTTTGGTCGGCCATTTTGGCCCCGCCCTACCCCGGGGGTCATGATTTGAACAAACTTGAATCTACACTACCTGAGGATGTTTCCCCAATTGTTTCATCTTTCCTGGCACAGTGGTTCGTGAGAAGAAGATTTTTAAAATATGCCACCAAATTTTCATTAATTCCCAATTATCTCCCCTTGAATGAGGGCATGGCCCTTCATTTGTACGAACTTGAATCCCCTTCACCCAAGGATACTTTGTGGCAAGTTTGGTTGAAATTGGCCCAGCGGTTCTTGAGAAGAAGTCGAAAATGTGAAAAGTTTACAGACAGACGGACAGACGGACAGCTAGACGGACGCCGGACAAAATGTGATCAGAAAAGCTCACTTGAGCTTTCAGCTCAGGTGAGCTAAAAAGAAAAGAAAATCACACATAGGATGAGGAAATACTATTTCACGGGTAAAAAAAACCCCACAGGTATAAAAGGAACTTAGGAATATAAATTTCAAAGCTCTTTAATACAAAAAAAAATATAGTTTTCCGCTTAACTCTAAGGTAGTTTCAAATAAGGAAACCATTTCAATGTTTCGTTATTTTCTAAAATGAAAATAATTTAACAAATCAAACACAATCTTTGCTAAATGCAGATGATCTGTTTGCTCTATCAAAATCTGCATCTCTATTCACAAAAATAAATAGATGAATTTAATGTAAACAAATTTAATTACCCATGGCCTTTTGAGGACAGGAAATAATCCAATGTGACTAAAAGCAAAATATCTTTTTTATACACAGACACTACTATTCACCTCCAAGCCAGTATGTACATAGACATTGAGTATACTATCCACAATGCATTCATCACACCCCTCAAACTATCTACAAGCTTTCTTAATCAATAAATAATGCACACTCTATGTGATTAATTCTAGTGTCAAATGCATTCCCTGCATCTAGCTTAGCTGCTGAAATTATCATCGTATGTGACCAAAATGCCTGCAATAATTGTATTACAGTTTTATGTCCATAATAATGTGACAAATTTTCCTAATAATGCCATCAATTTCACTGGTATATATAATATCTGTGAAGAGTTTTATCTCTCAGCTGCACGAAGCATCAACATATTCATGTGTAATGGAACCCCACCCATTATTAAGGCATCATGTGACATACAACCCAGAAATACTCTCTCATGAAAAATAAATCTCTAACTCGTGCAATTTCTTCACAGCAATGTTAACACTATAGATAATGCTAGAATATTTTTCCTCTCTCTCTCTCTCTCACTCTCTCTCTCTAACTCTCAAACTATGTGCATAAAATCTGCACTTTCCATACTACTATTATAGAGGGAGGGAGGTGGGGGTGGGCAGGGGGTAGGGGGGGGCAGGGTTAATGACTGAGTTGGTGACATATAATAAATTATACTTACTGCTGGTCAAGGGGCTGTCTTCAGATGTATCTGCTGTCACATTTAATGTGTCATCTGGATCTATAAAAATACAATTAACATATACATATATGTATCATTTTCCCCCACTAGGAGTGAACATAAAATGCTACAGTACATGTACACATACAAATATTTCTCTCTAAAAACAAAACATTTATTTCTGGTTATGAATTAGCACTTAATTATGATATGTTTGATTTTGCTTATTATGTTTTGATATCCTTGCACCCACATTCACAAATTGACAGGATCGAGGAACATTTTCAATCTTATAGTACATGACATATTAAGTGTGCATTATCCATATGCACCAATTTGCCAAATTTAATACAGATTAGAATAGCTTGGTATCATGTTGATATTAGGTATGATGTTTATAAACTTAAAAAAGATACTGATATTGTCCAGTGGATGCAGCAAAGTTTTTATTTCCAAATAACACTCTAAATAATTACATGTATATACTTGAATGATCAACATTACCAGACTCTTTGTTCTCCAGCATTGGGATTTTCTCCCCCTTTCCCTCCGCCATTATCAGCTCACAGCTGGAAAAACAGAAATTATTATTGTAAAAGCTGCTACTAATGTATGTGTAACACAGTATCGGTGTGTCAAAGATGAACTACAGAACAACTTGATAGAAAAAAATTTAAGTGTTATATCTAAAGGACAGGGGTGTCCTTAAGACCTAGGGGCAGGGAAATTTCCCCACGTCTAATGATGTAACCCCCACTTACTTTGTTGTTCCTCCTTTAACCCCCCCTCCATTTTCCAAATACTGTAAATTCCTTATTTTATGCGAGTACAAAAAAATAACAAAATGGCTTTTAGATGGCAAATCGTGAGAAAAATAATTCGCGAGAGAGCTACGACAGCTTTTCAGGAAATTTCACATGCTACTATTGTATTTTCTAGCACCATAAAATAAAAGTGAGTAACTTTATTTTGTGAGTGGTACTTCTCGCAATGTGATAATTAATTCCTAGTGTACATTTAGGAATCTACAATGGCTATTTCAATGTTAAGTCAGACATAATAGACTATCATTCCAAAATATATTTTCTTTGCATAATAATTAGTACATCATTATGACAAAGTTTACGCCAATAAACCATATAAATCTACATTCTATAATTTTCTTAAGATTAAGAAGATTCTTTCAGGGGAGTTTGATTTTTAGGTCATATGCTAAAGGTATTTTAACTATTTAAATATCTTGGTTTTCTCTCTGTCACTCAGCAAATGTCAAATGGTCAAGTATTTTAAAAATGATATAAGATTATATAATCAGTAAAACACTATTGACTAAGCATTTCAAATGTGCACACTTGATAAAAGTTTATTGACACCGTAAGATAAAGTTGTAATAAACAATAAATTGTATATCTACTATAGAGACTTTTTCAAGTCACTTATAACACATTTTAAATCAGCAGATTTGGTATGCTGGCATGGAACTCCATTTAAATGTGTTAGTCTAGACCTTATGAATTACTTAAGCTTCATTAATTAAACCAAATTTTTACAAAAAGTTTTCATTTACAAGTGTGTTCATTGGGAAAAAAAATGTATGGATCACTACAAGCTCTCAAAACAGTATAGAAGAGCACATTGCAAAATACTAAATATTGAAATACTAACTGAATTAATTAGGTTTAAGAGGTTTTCATTCACATGAATTGTGTGTCCAGACCTATACTAATTTCATTAATTTACATGCGTGTCCGTTCATTATTGTATGGCTACATTTATATACATGTACTACCCTCATTGACAATACATGTAAGTATATCAGTATAATGCAGAAAACTTTAAATCAAGTATATTTAAAACTCAACTGGAAGGCAGGAAGAGATTAATGATGACAAAATTCCTTGCGAGAGAGTGTTTTCGGAAGTAAAAAAAAAGTGTTCCGGATTTTTTTTTCTTTCTGTAAAAACTATAATAAAATCCTTCCTCAATCTGCTCTGGTGTTTTTCTCCTCTTTTATTACAAATGTTATGCTCTGTATGTAATGCCCTGCAATCTTCCATTTAATCAAAATCTCAATTCAATTTCAAATGTTGCTTTAACCTATAAACACGCAATCTTTCATATAACAATATTTACTTAATTGCACGGATTAGAAAAATTCCTTTCAAGAACTCTAAACAATCATCTGACTTTGTGGACTAAAAGTTTCTGTATTGAAAAATACTACATTTTGTCATTCTATGTATCACGGAATAAGTAGTGCACCCTATTGCACACACACGTGCACACCTAGCCTCAACACTGGGTCACGCAGTAACCAACAGACATGGTTACTGTCCTTGACATGGATTTGCCAAGGAGTAAGACATAAGATAAAATGTCTTTACAGTCTTTATTAAAGGAGTAATTTGTACATTATTTACAATCCAAGACTGGGTCTGCCAGCTGCTAGCTCTAGCTCCTAACTCTCTTACTGCTAAACTTCTACTACTACTACTGCTTGTTCTTTTTTGATAAATTATCATCTTAGCCTTAAGGTAAATTGAGTGATTATTTGATTTACTCAAGATTCTTTGACATCTTTACAATAGATTGATATGAGCAGGTAAAGTGTTAATTACTGTGACACCTATACTGTCTTCAGGGTCACAAAAGATAATTGCACAGGGGATTAACTAAATTGACTTCAAAGAATATAGATAACAATGTACTAGATGTAGTATTTACAAGCCATCTGTTTAACTTAAAACTATAAGGAAATTTGAATCAATTAAATGCTACGATGAATAAAATAGAAAACTGTAGTTTAAATAGAAATATAAATATTGTAATATTTAAAAAATATAAATTATGTAAGACCCCTAACTCTTTGGTTAGTGGCTATAGTTATCTTACATAATTATTTCATTACAGCAGTTTCATGAATTAATAACCATTTCACATAATATGACAGTTTGGAGATGCTCTGGAAGGTTTCAAATGGTTCATAAATGTTTCAACTTAACAAAATACATCAGGCAAGCTGTCTCCAAATACAACAAATGTACAAGCTCTGTAACTGATTATTATTGTTAGGGTTGTATTTACAATTTCACAAGCTTTTTCGGTATCATGTTCTCCTGTTCATTGTATCTTAAGAAAGCTGCCACACAATGACATATTTAGAAAGAGCTGATACAGAACTCATGCAAAAAAATAATACAATGGCTTAAAGAATATTGTCTTTAATGTATTGTGATCTAGTGACATAACGGGATGCCCCTGCAGGTTAAATAATATTTGAGTGAGAATATTCTTAATTCTACAACTATTTACAGAATCATAAATAACTATTCTTAGTACACTGTAAATATGTCAACGATAAAGATTTAAACAACAAATGAATGAAACATGTATACTGGGGTGCCTGGCAGTAAATGTCCGCACTACTGCACTGACATCTATATGACACAGAATATGTTTTATTCAGTTCTGAAAAGAACAAATATAATTATACAAGTACAGAATCTAAAAGACCCTAAATATCTGTCAGGACCATTATTATAAGGCGCGTCTCAAAACTGTCTGCCATTTCCCAGGCTGCTGAGACCGTCTAAGTCAATGCTTTAAAATGCCTGAACTATACACTGCAAAATCAAAACTATCAAAGTTAAAAGAAGGTAAAATTACCATTCAAAAGATTTTTTAGAGTAATTTCCAAAATTCTTCTGTTAAAGATATATTTATAAGGTTACATACCTTCAGGTACCTGCCTTTGAGATTTTTTTCTCCAACGGAAGTAACTAGCAGCGCCCCCTTTTGAAATTGAAAGCGCTGAGAAAAGCGAGGGGTCATCTCAAGATACATGTAGATCTATAAGAATATACAAAAGAATAAAACAATAAAATTTCTGGTTTTACCTCTGTTATTATTTTATTATTTGCTTATTTTTTATAAGATAGACGAGAGACACAAGATGGTGATTGAATTTATTTTGGCTAATAATATTACATGTACATTGCACATCATTACATTTGACTATATAACGTACACGTTATGTTTTATTATTCCAAATCTGGGCCCTTAATTTTGGGCATATTACATACATGATAATCATTATTAAACAGAACGTATAATAATTATTTACAAAATGTTATATTAATAGTAGTTTTCAGCATAATTATGTATAGGCCTACATGCAGATGAATCAATTGTGTATTCAAAAATACAAATAATATTTTTCTTTGAATGAATTTTAATCCAAACAGAGATACGGGGGTATCTGTAGCCAATCCACTTCCCAATATTAATGGTTGTCTCTTCAGGCAATAAACTCGCTTGAAGTGAATTTTCAGCAATCTAACAAATAATTCTAATCAAGCGAGTTTATTACTTGTAGAGACGACTATAAATGGTTGGGAGAATGATAAAATATACATATTAGTTAAATTATGTATCTAGAATTAGGGAGTGAAAGGTAGTTATAGTTGACCGATGCTGGAAAGTGGAGAAATTCTCCCCAAAAGTGTCTGGATAGTGCTCAAAATCCGTGTACAAAGGAGGACACATGAGATCAGAAACGCGAATGATCTGGAGCGAATATGCCCATATGCATTTTGCTTTTTTCCGTGACACACACCTGTCACTTTTGTACTCGTTGTTAACAGTTTGCATTCCCTACTTGTTTCCTTTATTTTTGTATATACATTTTCATTTGTTGTTTTTGTTCTCTTATCATTTTTACTTCTTATATACTGGTCACAGTTTATCCTACATGCATTCAGAAGATTTTGATATTTGTCATCATTTGCGGCTCCGACATTCAACGTTCATCCTTTGTTCAGAATTTTTAGCTAATGGCAGGTAGGCCTAACACAGTGTCACAATATCGAGCCGCAATAGGAATCTATTATTCAAAAACTAGATGCACAGTAAAATCAATGTTATTTTGTATATTTGATTTTAGAAAAGTATTTTCGTTCTTATTGCAATTGTATAATTATTACGTACACAGGTCCAAATGTATAGCAAACCAGATTATGAAAAGCTTTATCCATGTGATTTTTTGCCTGCAAATTATACATTTTCTATTATTATTGTCAGGCGACATTGAAACTAACCCTGGTCCGATTGGTGCTTCAATACATAGTTTTGATATTTTTCATCTTAACATTAGGAGTATTAGAAACAAAATAGAAAGTTTAACTACTTATGTAACTGACTTCGATATCTTATGCTTTACAGAAACACATTTGGACTCTAGTATAAGTAATAGCGAACTTTCAATTGAGGGATTTAATACAATATTTAGAAAAGAAAGGAATTCGCATGGAGGGGGAATTCTTGTTTATATATCAGAATCTCTTCGAGCCATTAGACGTGATGACCTTGAACCTATTTCAATAGAATGTATCTGGTTAGAAGTGTGTGTACCCACCTGTAATTTTCTTCTATGCTGTGTATATCGTCCACCAAACAGTAGTAAATCCTTTTGGGATAATCTTATATGGTCTATTGAAAAAGCTTCTGATATTTCCAGTAAATTAATTTTAGTTGGAGATCTTAATGTAGATTTTTTTAACATTCCTCGAACACACATTATAAATGAAATTCTGTTAAAATACAACCTCACTAACACTATCCATGAAGCCACTCGTATCACGGGCTCGTCGAACACACTTATTGACCCAATTTTAGTCAACCCAGATGTGACAATTCTTCACTCAGGCGTGTTAAATACAGAAAGTACAATCAGCGATCACAAAGCGACATACATTTTCCTCAAATCTACTGTTAATTTAAACCAATCTTATGAACGCAAAGTGTGGGTATATAAAAATGCAGACATGGACAAACTAAATTCACGTATTGAAAATACCGATTAGGTGAATCTCATTTGTAATGCACAAAATGTTGATCAAGCAACGGAAAACTTCTCTTTGACATTCATGAATATAGTTAGACAAAGTATACCTGAAAAATCTGTTATTATACGTCCCAAAGATAAACCATGGTTTGATTCTGCATTGCGCAAAACTCTTCGAACAAAAAATAGACTTAAGCGAAAAGCCCAAAAAAGTAAAAAAGAATCTGACTGGACAAAGAATGAGTGCACTTAAGTACGTCATTTGGAACCTTTTCGGCTACCCATTTTAAGCTTAACATTACAATATATCGCTAAATTAATCTATGATTTATGTGCAAGCATATGCTTTTGATATTTATTTCTAGAATTTTTTGTCATACATATTTCTATATTTACAGAAAGTGTAATTGAAAAGAACATGTAAAAGCCTTAAATTCCGGAAATTTGAACGGGACCACTTTCGAATCTAAGGTATCCGCAAATAGGCGGAGACATTTAAACCGCATGGTTGTGGAATGTAAACATTAGCACATATGATTTTTTCGCATTGCGAATTGAAATGGAGAAGAGAGAGAGAGATCGTGTTGATTTCATGGTGCACAATTATTAAATGATTCTAATGTTAAGGGATGGGGTAAATGTCTCGCTGTGCTGACCATATTACAGAGGCGACATAAGCCTATACATGTACTTACTAATGACACTGTCAATACCAGAATTCTTTCAAAACACCCCTAATGAAAAGCATAAAGATAAATAAGAGATATATTATCTTCAAACCCTATTAAAATTTGCGCAAAAATCTCCCATAGTTTCAAGTTGGAAGTACGATAGATAATGTCACAACAGAGACTTAAACACAATGAAATTTTCAATGAAAGCGTTAGCGTATCGAACAGCAGAAGGTCACGTGAGAAAGGTGATTATAATATCAATCGTTGTTGCTCAGTGACCGCTTAATTTAGTAGCTATCTCGACCCTAGTTTGGGGACATTTTTTTGAAAATTAGATATGAGCCGCAACTTGGCCAACATTGTCCTTTGGATGTGTATAAGTTTAAGTTAAAATACATATTCTGTGCAAATAAGAAAATTGGCCAAGTTGCGGCTCGATGTAAACAAAGTCGTTGAAAACTGGTATGCATATGAATAACAATAGAAATGAGACAAAACTGTTAGACCCCCGTCTCAAAAGCTAGTGTCGTTCTGCATTATTTAATACTTTTATGTAATATAATATACCAAAACCTGCTCTTAAGACATTGTTTAATACCTATAAAACATAAATTTAATGAATTTTGGAACTTTATTTTGCGCAAAACATCGGGATCCAACTCTCATAGCTTAAGTGCACTCATTCTTTTAAACAAGTGCATGAGGAATAAATTTAATAATATGAAAAAACATGCAATTGAAAATTACAATAATAATCTAGAATTACACCTTACAGATGCTAGCAAAAAAAACTCGAAATTATACTGGAAAATTCTGAAGGATGTTTTTAAAACCAAAACTGCCTCTGATATTCCACCATTACAATATACATCTGAAAGTGGTCGTACAGATATTGCTTATTCAAATGAAGAAAAAATAGATGCACTTAATAACTATTTTACATCTGTATCATGTGTTGATGATAGTGGGTTAGAATTACCTGAGGCATATCATGTATGTAACAGTGAAATTAGTAGTGTATGTATTACTGAGCAAGAAATAATTGATATTGTAACTATACTTCCTACAAACAAAGCTATTGGACATGATAATATTAGTCATAAGATGTTAAAATCAGCAAAGTTCACTATTGCTAAACCTCTTTGTTTATTGTTTAATAGATCTCTAAATGAATGTATTTTTCCTTCTGCATGGAAATTAGCAAATGTACTTCCTCTGTTTAAAAAAGAAGATCCTTCTGTGATGTCTAACTACAGACCAGTGTCATTGTTGAGTTGTGTTGGTAAAATCATGGAAAGAGTTGTGTTTAGATATATTTATAATTATTTTCATGACAATAATCTTTTTTATAAATACCAGGCTGGTTTTTTACCTGGGCATTCAACAGTATACCAGCTGATAGAAACATACGATAATATTGTTAAAGCTATTGATGATGGAAAATTTTGCTGTATGATTTTTTGTGATCTGTCAAAAGCATTTGATCGTGTTTGGCACAAAGGTCTTTCATTTAAGCTTAAGACATATGGGATTACTGGTAGTTTGTATAAATGGCTTGAGAATTATCTGAATTGTCGGTACCAAAGGGTGATGCATCGTAACTTATTATCAACACCCAAACCCTTATATGCTGGTGTTCCCCAGGGCTCAGTTCTAGGACCACTTTTGTTCTTAATTTATGTTAACGATGTTGCTGATAATATGATTACTTTTTGTAGATTATTTGCTGATGATAATTCTTTGCAGCATTCGTCTCATAACATGAAAAGAATTGAAAGAGACTTAAACAAAGATTTAAATGCTCTGGAACTATGGTCTAAAAAATGGTTATTGAAATTTAATCCATCTAAAACAAAAGTAATACTGTTTAGCACAAAGAAAAATATAGAATATCCTAAGCTTCTTTTTCAACAATGTGAATTAGACTTCATTACTGAACACAAACACCTCGGAGTACTATTTTCACACGATGCCAGTTGGTCACCACATATTGATAATATACTGTCTATTGCTTACAAAAAATTGTCTCTTTTGAAAAAAATTAAATTTAAAGTAAATCGAAAAACACTCTCACTCATGTATACATCATTCATAAGACCGCAACTTGAATACGCTTCAGTGGTCTGGGGGTGCTGTCAACAGGGTGATTGATAAGTTAGAAAAAACTTCAACTTTATGCAGCTAGAATTGTAACAGGGTTAACAACTATAGCTTCCAAAGATTCGCTTTATTTTGAAACGGGATGGGAACCGCTTAGTTGTAGAAGACAAGAAGCTAGATTAAAAACAATAGTAGT